AAAATTTTTCAACAACAAAAATAAAACCGTTCTTGAGTTTTAGCGAGAATCGAGACTAAAGAAGAGCGATTGATGTTTATACTACAAAGATATTTAGAAGATTTAGATTTACAGATAAAAGAAATGTAATTTATTCGGCGTGCAATTGAAACTTTTAAAACGATTTACCTTTATGTTGCCGTTTATGATGTGCAGGAAAAACTGGCGCGTATGGCGATGCTGCAGTACGTGACCGAGTCCATGGCCTACATGGTGTCGGGCAACATGGACACGGGCGCGCAGGACTACCACCTCGAGGCCGCCATCTCCAAGGTCACGAGCGTCATAAAACTCATTTATTTTTGCAAATAGGCTTTTAAAAAGCACTTTTACATGCTTTCGTCCGCGATGATTTCCACATCGACCGGTCGGCAGCGGCCGGCATTCAGCGCCTTCCCGCTGACTATACGAGGTCGTCGTCTCATTTTAACGATTGATATTTCCATCCACGAAGACGCGCCCCACCAATTTTTGGTCGAGGGAAGCGCGGGCTGGCTAATTTAGCGCGTACCGATAACACTCAAACATCAGCGGAAGAATGGTGAGGCGCGTCTTCGTGGATGGCTAATCAATTTCGAAGTTATCAAGTGAGAACATAACTCGTCAACCGTTTAAGGCATATTCTATCTATTTATTCGTTGCACATGTATTGTGCGTTTTCTTTTCCTGTTTTTTGTCAATTACCAATTTACTTCAAATTAAATCAATTACCATCGAGCGAATAGGTATACCAAAACGACTTCTGGGGGCGAAGTGTGAGTTTACTTAAACGCATTCGACGTCGACTGCGTAAAAAAGTGACATTAAACGTATGACGGTCGACGGATCGTACAGCGCCCCTGGCGGAAACTTTCAAGAAGTAAAATCTTCATATATTAGCCGCCTTCATTTATCGTCGGCCGTTTGGTGTAGTGGTTCAGAACGGACTACTATGCCGAGAGGTCCCGGGTTCGATTCCCGGCCGGGCAGAAATTGAAATGATGAATTTTAATTTCTGTGACGGGTCTGGGTGCGACTATGTATAATATTTATGTATTTAAAAAAAAAAAAAGTATAAGTAGTATATCCGTTAAGCTAGCACCCATAACACAAGCATTAAGTTGCTTACTTTGGGGCTAGCTGGCGCTGTGTGAAATTGTCCAAAGATTATTTATTTATTTATTTATTAGACGTCAGATGTAAACTCACAGCTCCACCCTCCGAACGGCCTCGTTATCTGCGCAGGTGTTCGCGTCGGACGCGGGCTGGGCGGTGGTGGACGAGGCCATCCAGGTGCTGGGCGGCATGGGCTACATGAAGGCCACGGGGCTGGAGCGCGTGCTGCGCGACCTGCGCATCTTCCGCATCTTCGAGGGCACCAACGACATCCTGCGGCTGTTCGTCGCGCTCACGGGTACGCCGCTTTTCGTATTCGCGCGTTGATTTTGTTTCGATTTCGTTTTATGCGTGTTCGATCGTCGCCTCCGCGGCGTTCGCCTGTTACCCGTTTTGAAGTATGGTTCGATCGGATGACAGTGATTAAACGTCAAATAACAAACCGCTGAGTCGTGATCCTATCGAGTAAACGTTCTATCGAAACGACACGTGAATACGGATTTTAGGACTGTTTTTCGATAGGACGCCTAAACGTCAACGACATTTCAATATTTCAGTCATTTTTAAAGATATCAAAAAAGTAAAAATATATTTTTTTGTAGTTTTTTTTGGCATCTTCAACGAAAATCGTGCGCCAGGTCCATTGTTAATGATGAATTAACGGGATCGCGTTGCAGGCATCCAGTTCGCGGGCTCGCACCTGCAGGAGCTGCAGCGCGCCTTCAAGAACCCCGCGGCGAACCTCGGGCTCATCTTCAGCGAGGCCGGCCGCCGCGCCTCCGCCGCCGTGGGGCTGGCGCGCGCGCCCGACGTCGGCGCGCACGTGGCCGAGCCGCTGCGCGCGCACGCCGCCGAGCTGGCGCGCCTCGTGGCCGAGAGCGGCCGCGTGGTCGAGGCCGTGCTCGTGGCGCACGGCCGCGGCGTCGTGGACCGCCAGTTCCAGCTCAACCGCCTCGCCGCCGCCGCCATCGACGCCTACAGCGCCGCCGTGGTGCTGTCCCGCGCGTCGCGCGCGCACCGCCTGGCTCTGCCGTCGGCGGCGCACGAGGCGCGGCTGGCGGCGGCGTGGGCCGAGGAGGCGGCGGCGCGCATCCCGGCGCTGCTGGCGGCGGCGCGCGCGCCCAAGGACCTGCGCCGCTACGACCTGCTGGCGCGCATCGGCGCCGACGTGGCGGCCGCCGGCGGACAGCCCGTGCCCAACCCGCTCAACCTGTGACACCCGCCGCCTCCGCCGTGTACATACTAGACTAATTGATGAGATCTATATTTATTATTTACGCTGATAGAATATTTTTATAGCACACCTCGTCTTTTTATTTGGAGTGGTGCAGGATGGAATCTGATTCTCTAGCGCGGTATGACGATGAGTACCGCGTGCGGTGTGGACGCTCCCTGCCTGCCTCTGTCGGTTAACTCGTAGACTCACAGTTAGCGACTGCCAAGGAAAAAAATCAGCTTTTATGGTACAACGTAAGTAGAATTACAGCCCAATGAATATACAGCAAAGGCCACCGTAAAACTTAGGCTTACGTTATACCATAAAAGCTGATTTTTATGTATAGTATTTGGGCAATGATTATTTCCTCATAAGCCAGATAGTTTTGACAGTCCCAACTCCTTGCCAGGCAATCTTTTGAGGGTAGCTGCCAAAGCCACAATGACCCAAACTTCATGATACACCAATATTCTAATCTATATTGGGAGCATACGCTGACAAACTCAGCTTTTTACCCGACTACGGCAAAGCCAAAGGAGGGTTATGATTTTGACAGGCTATGTATGTATGTATGTATGTTCATATGTTCATCTGTTCCCTCGTAACTTCTAAACTACTTATCAGAATTTGACAAATGACATATCATTAGAAGCGTCTTAATTGTCCGCTGGTTATAGGCTATATGGGGTTTCACAAAATCTAATGTGGCGCCCTCTAGCGGACAAAACATACAGAGAAAAAAATAAAGTTAAGATAAATATGCCGTGTTTGGTATCATTTGAAAGGGCTTTACTTGTACATTTTGAAAATATATATATTACTAGCATTTGCTCGTGACTTTACCTGTATTCATGGGCTGATTGCATATAATTCACATCTTTTCGTTCATTGCTTCTTTACTACTTATTAGTTCATCAATTTAACTTTTGTTAATATTATGCGCCACAAATACACTTTAACACCAAAATGGTACAAATAATAAATAAAAAGTAAAAAAACTAAAACCCAACTACGACAAAAAACGACGCTAAAAAAGTATAAAACAAGATTTTCAGAATACTGAACTGAACAATGTTGCTAATGTAGTTGCATAGTAATTTTCATGTTTGGAAAACCGCAGTCACACGTTATCAAAGTGCTACGGTAGGCAGGTATATGTAACGTGTGACTACGCCTTTCCAAACATGAAAATTATATGCAACTACATTAGCAACATTGTTCAGTTCAGTATTCTGAAAATCTTGTTTTATACTTTTTTAGCGTCGTTTTTTGTCGTAGTTGGGTTTTAGTTTTTTATAAAATGACGTAGGTCTGGCGTTCACCAGTTCTTAGTATTTTGGTGACCACTCACAAATGCAAAGCTCGGCTTACGCCTCGCAAACTGTACGCGTTCACACTCATGAGCTTATGACGTGTGCTTAGAACGCGTTTGTCTAGTGAGCGGAGAGTCCTTTATCCATGAGACACTGTTATTGCTAAACATACATTTAACTAGCTGTGCCCGCGACTTCGTACGCGTGAAAACCCGTTTTCGCAACATTTTTCATTTTTGCTGCACATATTACTCGTAGCGTGATGGTAGGTATACAGGGTGGAAACGATAAGTAATCTCACTCGATTACTTCTAAACTATACAAGATATCCAAAAATTGGTTACTGATCCTGAAAGTGCTTAACGAGCTCTATCCAACGGTACCAAAAATGGGTTACAAAATAAATGGGATCTATTCGAAAATTCAATGTTTCCAGCTTCCATACATTTAGTAAATAAGTAGTTTAGAAATAATCGAGTAAGATCACTTATCACTTATCGTTTCCACCCTGTATAGCCTATAGGCTTCCTCAATAAATGAGCTATCTATCTAAATTTTTCAAATCGGACCGGTAGTTCCTGAGATTAGCGCGTTCAAGTAACAACAAACAAACAAACTCTTCAGCTTTATAATATTAGTATAGACTAGCGGCCGCCCGCGACTTCGTACACGTGGATCCCGTTTTACCCCCTTCATCTATCTTACGCGGTTTAGATTTTTTCATACAAAAGGATTTTCCCGCTAATTCCCGTTCCCGTGGGAATTTTGCAATATCCTGTTGTAACTAAGCTTTAGGTTTACTAAGATACTTGCATGCCAAATTTCAAGCATCTCACTTATGATCTTACCTTCTTTTTTAAAACTATTTTTACAACTTTAAATAAAAAGACAATAAAATGTTGGTAGACTTGTACTTTTACGTACAGAGTCTATTGCGGTGCTATTATTTAAGCGGTTTAGATTTTTCATACAAAAGGATTTTCCCGCTAATTCCCGATCCCGTCGGAATTCCTAAGTATACTATAACCTGCCCAGGAGTACGAAGAACATTTATACCAAGTTTCGTTAAAATCCGTCGAGTAGTTTTTGTTTCTATAAGGAACACAGACGGACAGACAGACAAAAATTTTACTGATTGCATTTTTGGTATCGGTATCGATCACTTATCGTTATTTATTTTGAAAATATATTTCATGTACAGAATTGACATCTCTACAGATTTATTATAAGTATAGATAAACCTTTATGCGTAGAGTGCAGGCGCTGACGAAGCGGCAGGCGGGACGTAACGTACGAAGTGCTCGCAAAGCGGCATATCGAATGAAGCGATCAACAAATTGCGTAACAGAGTTTATTATTTTTTGGTAAAACACAACATTCGGCAACGGCATAATATGTTATCACTGTTTCCTTACACTATATCGCTCCGCTCCGCCCCGCTAGAGCGCTAGGCGTCGATCTGCAGCGAGCGGTCCCAGGCGCGCGCGTTGACCTGGCGCAGCGTGGAGCGCAGCGCGCCGCCCGGGCCCAGCGCCAGCGTCAGCGGGAAGCGCGCGCCGCGCGGCCGCGCGTACAGCGCCTGCAGCGTCTGCTCCCAGCGCACCGGCCGCGTCACGTGCCGCGCCAGCGCGCGCCGCGCCGCGCCCGCGTCGCCCAGCGCGCGCGCCTCCACGCCCGACACCACGCGCACGCGCGGCGCGCACACCTCCAGCGCGCCCAGCGCCGCGCGCACCGCCTCCTCCGCGCGCGCCATCAGCGGCGTGTGGAACGCGCCCTCCACGCGGACGCGCGCCGCGCGCTTTACGCCGAACTCTGACCCGTTCCTCTCTATGAACTTCAGCGCCTGCGTTGAAAAAGAAACGTTTTTGATGCCGAAAGATAGTTCTCGATCGAGTTCTCCGCTGACGTTGTTGAACTTCGAAACCGTTCGACGGAAGCGGCCGAACGCGGGCCGTTCTACGCCGTTTCCGAGTGAACGATAATAATATTAATTTTGTTCATTCAAACGTTCGGATCGAACGAAGGGTGAAGCCCTGACATCGAAACTAGTAAAAAATACTGTATTTTCAGTGTCGTGATTCGGAGGCTGATTGAGCCTCGCCTTGATTACAGAAGGACACAGTTAAGCGGGCGAAACTCAGGATCACGAATATCGCACGCTAAATATAACGAATGGGGCGTCACAACGTCACCTCCTCGTCTCCGGCGACGACCTTGCAGCCGGGGAAGAGGTAGTTGGCCACCACGGCCACGGGCGCGGGCACGCCGCGCTCGGCCGCCCGCTCGCGCGCGCGCAGCAGCAGCAGCGGCAGGCGCGCGTCGGGCGCCAGCCACAGCGTCAGCATGCCGCCCGCGCGCTCCCGCGCCGCCGCGCGCATCGCGGCCGCGCGCAGCTCCACCAGGCGCAGAGCTCCTGTGCACGAGAACGTCTCATCGCTGATGAGCTCGAAACTTGATCGATGGAAGATCCAGTACCTCTAGTAGGAAAAACTTTCGAGTTCGTTTCGTTGCGTATTCAAAGTGTCATCGAAAAATTTTGTATGAAAAATTAAACAGCGCCCCCTATATTATAGCCGCCCTAGGGGGCGCTGTTTAATTTTTCATACAAAATTTTTCGATGACACTTTGAATACGCAACGAAACGAACTCGAAAGTTTTTCGTACTAGAGGTACAGATTTTTGAAAGAGTGAATGACGGTAATTCACTCGTTATTTTTAAACTTTCGCGTTGCTCACTCGTGATACGAGCATGTTTAGCTCAGTACGAGGGGCTATCGGGAGTATTAGTAATTTGTGTAAACTTTTATTTTAAAAAATTAACAGGTCGAAGTCGGCCATTACGTTCACTCCGATGGATTCAGTTTTAACCGATTCGTTGCGGTGGCCAATTTCGCTTACTTCTAACTGTGGCGTCAAGCAAAAATGACGTGACACTGTTCAGTGCCCAACACCATACGATTATGACACGCATCTGTGTCTTCAGCCATGTAGAAAAGAAAACAGTAATTTGACCATTTTTTACACGTTTAAATAAATAGCTCATGATGTGAAGTTACTAAGAAAAGCTTCGATCGGTCGGGCCTAAGCTATTTTTAAATGTGTCCATTTGTGAACAGAGATAGCGTGCCCGGGCGGGAACAGATGCGCGGCAGAGCACCAAAAGTAATGGACTGTGGCTCACCTTCAAAAGTCAGCGAGCCAGCGAACACGAGCGCGGTGATCTCCCCGAGCGAGAAGCCGGCCACGGCGCGCACGCGCTGCAGCGCCGCCGGCCGCTCGTCGCGCGCGCGCTCCAGCGCCGCCAGCGACGTCACCAGCACCGCCGTCTGGCAGCGCCGGTCCAGCTCCTCCGCCGGCCCTTCCACGCACACCTTCCTCACGTCCCATCTGACGACGAACACTAAAACTAACTCGTTGATTCAACTCAATCATTTACATTAAAGCGAATCGCAAGTTCTACTCTACATTAACTGTAATATACAGGGTGTTTCGTGTAAGGTGCCAAGCCGAAGGCTGGTGATAGGTTAGGACTGGACCTATCGATTGCACCCCTATGTTAGGCCAGTAGAATTAAACACAAAAATGAATTAAATTGGTAATAATTCTACAAAAGATTTAATTGCTTTAATGGCTTCATTGGTTGTCCATTAAGACTCTCCTAGGTTTTCGACTTTGACGGAGTTGTGCTTAAGTGGCCCCCGAAAGGGGCGTTTTTTCGGTTTTCCGGTTATACCGCGTAAAGGACTTACCCTACCGAAAAGTGGTCTTCATGACGGTTGCAGAGCACTTAATCCTGCATTAAATAAGACCAATTCATATGTTTTGGACAAACCGTTCTCGTGCTTATCTTCGACAAAGTAGAAAATGTACATATAATTAACAACCCTCTCTACGTCCAATAGCTCGTCACCCGCAGGCTCCCAAGGCTTATAAAGGGCAGCTGTAACCAGCATATCCCTGTCAAGGCTCTTGAGTTGGATTCGCCTATCCTTATTCGTCCCAGTCGATCCTTAGCTATGGTTGCTGCATCTCTTACTTGCTATAGATATAAATAAAATAAAATATTCTACTTTGCAGCTATAGACTAAATTTTAATTAATGTTTCTTACCCAACAACACTAGAAGCTAAATCATACAGATCTTTAGCTGCAGGAAATTTCAGTAGCTCTCTGCCCATGCCCACTTTTTGCGATCCTTGCCCAGGGAAGAGGAGCACGCTGGTCTCCTGGGGGTCCACCCGCGGCGAGGTCTCGGCCTGACCCGGCGCCCGCGCCGCGTACGGCTGCGTCGCCCATTGCAGCTCTGGCTCGAGCGTTGTAGCTTCGGCGAATCCGCTTGAGTCGTTCAGTAGCTGCCGCAGGGGGCTATCAACGCTGTTACTTTGTGTACCTTTTGATCGTTTTGTATACGAAACGTGTAAAGAACAAAAGACACGCGATCGGCGTATTATACGTTGCGCGAGCATTTTTTAAAAATTTTATACCGGATGCTACAGATATTATCATTCAAAATTACAAAGACATTTTTATTTACAATCGTAAAAAGGACGGAAATTCAGGGAATTTATTCATTCTGACGTGATTCCGACAAAAATCAAAACAGTGTTGTTGTACTGTCAGTCTCACATGGTCTCCACCACAGATGTCACAAACGTGTCAAAGTCAAATCCTTTTTTTTTTTGACAGATGGACACTACACCATGAAGCTACAGATAAAAATGGAGGCCACACTCCGAATACCTACTTGAAGCACAAACTAAGTATCACTATCTCGCTCTCTTTGGGCAGACTCGCTCTTTCTAAATAAACAAAAAATATAAAATTGCTCAAATTCAATGAAACCAATGTAAAATCTTTATTTCTTGACATAGGTATCATTAAAAATGATAAGTGTAATTACTGGTAAAACGTTTTAGGAAGAAATTACTGTAAAAAATGTGAAAAATGTTTACAATGATCCAATGTCGGAAATCACGAAATAAACACTTACGCGTGGAATCTTATGTCACTTCCAGGACACCACGTATTACCGCAACCATGCACTACAAAATTTTGCACCAATTCTTGTGATAAAACAATGATTATTTCCTGTAAACAATCTCAAACGAAATTAACTGCTTAATAAACAAAATAGTAAACAACCGCCATGACCCATGATGGGCCGGATTGGGCCGATGTTGCCACATGGTACCGATTACCCAGGAATTGGGATTGTAATTCCCTGATTCGCCAACACATTAAGCCTAAATGGCCGACAATTTTGTGACTTTTTATTTAACTAGGTAATCTTAGTAACAAAAAATATAAAATTGCTCAAATTCAATGAAACCAATGTAAAATCTTTATTTCTTGACATAGGTATCATTAAAAATGATAAGTGTAATTACTGGTAAAACGTTTTAGGAAGAAATTACTGTAAAAAATGTGAAAAATGTTTACAATGATCCAATGTCGGAAATCACGAAATAAACACTTACGCGTGGAATCTTATGTCACTTCCAGGACACCACGTATTACCGCAACCATGCACTACAAAATTTTGCACCAATTCTTGTGATAAAACAATGATTATTTCCTGTAAACAATCTCAAACGAAATTAACTGCTTAATAAACAAAATAGTAAACAACCGCCATGACCCATGATGGGCCGGATTGGGCCGATGTTGCCACATGGTACCGATTACCCAGGAATTGGGATTGTAATTCCCTGATTCGCCAACACATTAAGCCTAAATGGCCGACAATTTTGTGACTTTTTATTTAACTAGGTAATCTTAGTTTCAAATATTAATTACACTGCACAACAGCATTTTTGTTGCATGGAATGTTTTTTATGGATCTAGCTGCATTTTCTACCCTGATTCCAAATCTGTACTCAGATTTTCGCTAGCAGCTCTACTTTTTGAGATGTGAAGGGTAGCTATTTTTATCAAAAAAACATGGTTTCCTGTCATATAACAATTTATTTAACTATCTAATTTGAATAAAACTTTCTTTTATGTGACTTTCTTAAATGAGTTCGAGTGTTACAACTATTCTGGATAATCCAACAGTATTCAGCCATCATACTTTCACTCCAATAGCCCTGGTACCGCTCCTCTATGGCGCAAATATCCTGATGCAAGCGTTCTTCTAACTGCTCCTCGCTTAAATCTCCAAGATTTTCAGGAATTCGATCAAGGTGGCTATGAAGGAGATACATCTTAATGCTCATGTTGTATTCAAGTTGCTGAAAGTATAGTACTAACTGATTAACGTGGTCAGGAAAATTGACGAACTACTTATTTCCCAAAAAGTTTTTTACGAACCAAACAAACTCATTCAAGGCATTTTTTTCAGCGTTTGTCATACTTTCAGTAAAATTTACATCACTTATTAATTTTCTAAGTTGTGGTCCATCGAAAATTTCAGTTTTTAACTTCTCAGCACTCTATTTTTGAAACGATCCATTCGTTAAAAATTTTCGTGCGGACGTACTGTAGACACTGTAGTACGGTACCTGAGATGTACTTGGTTGGGGTTTTAGTGTATCAGTTGAACGCAGGACAGAGCCCCGATTACGGAAATTTTTAACGTCTACAATCCAGACGCGTTTCTGATTCTGCAATACGATTGGTCAAAACAGCTGACGTACGCTGTTGAACGACCAATCGTATCGCAGAATCGAGAAGCGTGTCTGGATTGGTGACGTTAAATATTACCGTAATCGGGGCTCTGGTCTAGTAACTGACGGCACATTAGAATAAACCCACTTAGAATGATTTTAGCGGTTAATTCCTGTTATGTTTACAACGCAGAAATAACATTCGTCGTGGTGGTTTGACGGTTCACGCCAAATCATAGGACTAATAAGGTTCAAGGGATCCCTCTTGTTATTTTTCCATAATCGTTAAGACTCCACACACGTTTTACACACTATATTCGGTATCCAGAGCTTGTTATTTGTTTCCAACAGGCGTTGAAAGTACTCCAAACAGGCATTTTTCACGAAGTCTGACACATTTAAACGAAATTTTTTGAATGTATATCTGCCACAATTGTGACAAATCTATTTGGATTATTTACACAGGTCCTTTTAGACGAAATCATTGCAAAAAAAGAAACAGAAACTAGTAAGACGTTGGTGATAGCGATATCAGCAGTCAAATGGAGAGTACATTTTAAGAGGGTACCTGTATCTCCTAAACTAGAGCTGCTAGAAAAAATCTGAGGGTAGATTTAAAATAAGCGAGCCTACATTAGTAATGGAGCGGGCTATGCTCGGAGTTTCCCTGCGTGATCGAATCAGAAATGAGGAGATCCGCAGGAGAACCAAAGTAACCGACATAGCTCGCAGAATTGCCAAAATCAAGTGGCAGTGGGCGGGGCACATAGCTCGTAGAGACGATGGCCGTTGGGGCAGGAAAGTTCTCGAGTGGCGACCACGGGCTGGAAGACGTAGCGTGGGCAGGCCTCCTACTAGGTGGACCGACGATCTGGTGAAGGTCGCGGGAAGAGCCTGGATGCGGGCAGCGCAGGACCGTTCATTGTGGAAAACCTTGGGGGAGGCCTTTGTCCAGCAGTGGACGTCATTTGGCTGAAAACGAAATTAGTAAACAACAAGTGAAAAATCTCATGCAACAAAAAAAAAGTTCGATTTTGTTGTGCAGTGTTATTTATTTGTTTAACTCTGATTTGGTTAGTGAATTGGCTATTTCGAAGAATTTACAAGGAGATTTAAATCAGAAGATAGCAATACTACAGTTCACACTAAAAAGAGAGGTAGGGCCGCAGAGAGCGAGATAGATATAAGTAGGTATTTGACTCAAGTTTTTGTTCCAACTCTGCCCTCCATTTTTATCTTTAGCTTCATGCACCACACCAATGGATTTATGCTCTTTTTTAGTATTGTCTCACTAACAATACATACACAATAGAATAATAACATTCAGCGTCCCGATGTAGACAGAGAATACTCTGAATTTTACTACTCTGCGCTGAAAGATCTCATGAAATTCATGATGAAATGAATGAACCGAACGTTACTACGGCTCAGCTCAATACGATGACGTAGTGCGTCTTAACTTAAGTGTACAAGGCTGTATGATCTTATTTTACCAGCCCAAAAGAAGACAAAGCCAGCCATTTTTAAAAGGTTAAAAAAAAATGTTGTATTTAGGTTGAAGTATCAAAGTGTCTGTATTAGATCTAAAATCTGAATATCTGTGTTTTATTTACTTTGTTTTAAAAGTATTCATATGTTGTATGCAGTTATATCTTTTGTAAATTTACGATACAGTTAGATTACATTAGCCATAACCTGTTGTGACAACGTTGATTTACGTGGAGTAACTCCAACTGTTGAAGGAGTATTATTTCGTCATTAGGAAAATAACTAATCAACTTAGTGTTCTTAAGGTAAGTTAAATACTTCCATTGATTTATACCCTATCTTTCGTATCCGTTAGTGTTCTAAGTTCCATGCCATTTTGAACTTAATTTGCAGAAAGAGAAGTATGGCTGGTAGTATTGGCTGTCAGTGTGACACATGTGGCATATTATTTCGGTCGAAGCCAATACATCAAATGCTAAGCTATTTTAGCTCATTATAAACACTAATAAGTAAATAAATACGGTCTAGTCAGGTACTCTACCTACCAGATATACCTTCTGTAAATTCTGTGTAGTCAATTTCATGTAATAAACCTTCATCATAGAATGATGTACCTATAAAAAACAGTGAAAATGACATTGGGAACTTTTTGCCCCACTTTTCGAAAAGTAGCGGACACAAACGAAACCTATCACAGATGATACATACTAATATCCAATGAATTTTCGTGCATTTTTTTTTTCTCTCTTATATGGGAATATTGAGAAAATGAAGTTTTAATATTTTATTTTATTTTACATTTAGGTAACATTTTTGACGACCTCCGTGGCGGAGAGGCGCACACACTGGTTTTCAAGGTGTGTTGGGCCAATGCTGAGGTCCCGGGTTCGATTCCCGGCCGGGACAATATAGAAAACGATCTTTTCACATTGTCTCTGGTTTGGGTGTGTTGTGGTTCGTCGTTCCAGATTTCCATAACACAAATGCCTTAGCTACTTATTTTGGGTTGGAGTAATATATGAGATGTTGTCTAATATTAATTTAAGTATTTATAATATTTTATTTATTTATATTATTTTATTTATATTTTTTATTTATTTATATTATTTTATTTACTTTTATTGGTTACTCTGCAATGCCAAACAACATAACATGTAAAAATATCAAATCATTTTAGACAAATATATTTTCAACTTAGACTCGTCATATCTCAGAATTCCCATATCTCACAACATAGCGCTTTAAGTGAATATATCTACAAGTATAAAGCTTTGAAATAAAATACGTTTCATCTTTGTNTTAGTAAACAACAAGTGAAAAATCTCATGCAACAAAAAAAAAGTTCGATTTTGTTGTGCAGTGTTATTTATTTGTTTAACTCTGATTTGGTTAGTGAATTGGCTATTTCGAAGAATTTACAAGGAGATTTAAATCAGAAGATAGCAATACTACAGTTCACACTAAAAAGAGAGGTAGGGCCGCAGAGAGCGAGATAGATATAAGTAGGTATTTGACTCAAGTTTTTGTTCCAACTCTGCCCTCCATTTTTATCTTTAGCTTCATGCACCACACCAATGGATTTATGCTCTTTTTTAGTATTGTCTCACTAACAATACATACACAATAGAATAATAACATTCAGCGTCCCGATGTAGACAGAGAATACTCTGAATTTTACTACTCTGCGCTGAAAGATCTCATGAAATTCATGATGAAATGAATGAACCGAACGTTACTACGGCTCAGCTCAATACGATGACGTAGTGCGTCTTAACTTAAGTGTACAAGGCTGTATGATCTTATTTTACCAGCCCAAAAGAAGACAAAGCCAGCCATTTTTAAAAGGTTAAAAAAAAATGTTGTATTTAGGTTGAAGTATCAAAGTGTCTGTATTAGATCTAAAATCTGAATATCTGTGTTTTATTTACTTTGTTTTAAAAGTATTCATATGTTGTATGCAGTTATATCTTTTGTAAATTTACGATACAGTTAGATTACATTAGCCATAACCTGTTGTGACAACGTTGATTTACGTGGAGTAACTCCAACTGTTGAAGGAGTATTATTTCGTCATTAGGAAAATAACTAATCAACTTAGTGTTCTTAAGGTAAGTTAAATACTTCCATTGATTTATACCCTATCTTTCGTATCCGTTAGTGTTCTAAGTTCCATGCCATTTTGAACTTAATTTGCAGAAAGAGAAGTATGGCTGGTAGTATTGGCTGTCAGTGTGACACATGTGGCATATTATTTCGGTCGAAGCCAATACATCAAATGCTAAGCTATTTTAGCTCATTATAAACACTAATAAGTAAATAAATACGGTCTAGTCAGGTACTCTACCTACCAGATATACCTTCTGTAAATTCTGTGTAGTCAATTTCATGTAATAAACCTTCATCATAGAATGATGTACCTATAAAAAACAGTGAAAATGACATTGGGAACTTTTTGCCCCACTTTTCGAAAAGTAGCGGACACAAACGAAACCTATCACAGATGATACATACTAATATCCAATGAATTTTCGTGCATTTTTTTTTTCTCTCTTATATGGGAATATTGAGAAAATGAAGTTTTAATATTTTATTTTATTTTACATTTAGGTAACATTTTTGACGACCTCCGTGGCGGAGAGGCGCACACACTGGTTTTCAAGGTGTGTTGGGCCAATGCTGAGGTCCCGGGTTCGATTCCCGGCCGGGACAATATAGAAAACGATCTTTTCACATTGTCTCTGGTTTGGGTGTGTTGTGGTTCGTCGTTCCAGATTTCCATAACACAAATGCCTTAGCTACTTATTTTGGGTTGGAGTAATATATGAGATGTTGTCTAATATTAATTTAAGTATTTATAATATTTTATTTATTTATATTATTTTATTTATATTTTTTATTTATTTATATTATTTTATTTACTTTTATTGGTTACTCTGCAATGCCAAACAACATAACATGTAAAAATATCAAATCATTTTAGACAAATATATTTTCAACTTAGACTCGTCATATCTCAGAATTCCCATATCTCACAACATAGCGCTTTAAGTGAATATACCTACAAGTATAAAGCTTTGAAATAAAATACGTTTCATCTTTGTCCGCCGTGGGGCATTTTCTCATATTAAAGTTCCCAATGTCCTTTTTTTATTGGTTACTCTGGAATGCCAAACAACATAACATGTAAAAATATCAAATCATTTTAGACAAATATATTTTCAACTTAGACTCGTCATATCTCAGAATTCCCATATCTCACAACATAGCGCTTTAAGTGAATATATCTACAAGTATAAAGCTTTGAAATAAAATACGTTTCATCTTTGTCCGCCGTGGGGCATTTTCTCATATTAAAGTTCCCAATGTCCTTTACTTTCACTGTATTGTAGGTGTATTCTTTGTACATCATACAGTGAATGCTCGACTTTTTATAGAAATTGGTTTAATATTTCCAATATTACCCTTTGAATTATTAATGGTGGCATTCAATATGTTAGCTAAGAGAGAAGAAAATGCTATCAATAATTGTTAATATTTCTAATCAGGTACATTGAACGTTCTTAGTCCTAAGATATGGCACGTGGGCAGCAGAAGATCCAGTCCCAAGCCAAGGCTGCTGAGAAGCAGTCCAAGATGAAGAAGCAGCAGGGGCACAGCGCCACCGACCAGAAGAAGGCTGCTCAAAAGGCACTTGTGCATGTCTGCGTTGTTTGCAAGGTAACTAAATTCATTCTTTTCTTTTAATTAAATATTTTTCTTAAATAAAGAACAATGGCTTTTATTTATATCCATATTTTGTTTTTTTTACATTTCTCTTAAATCATTCCTTTTTTTTACAGGCCCAAATGCCTGACCCCAAGACCTACAAGCAACATTTTGAAAACAAACACCCGAAGAATGACCTACCTGAGGATCTAAAAGCTATCTAAATTTTTATATTATGTTTGTAGATTTAAACATTTATTTAATATTCTTAGGACCCTGCACTCACTATATTTACTGTATAGTGTATTGGATATAAAAAAATACCTGCCTGAATGGTTAAATTATATAAACAAGTGTTTAAAACTATGCTGAAAGACATTATCTTGAGTCTCTTTCACTATGAGCAAAGGCCATGGCCTCTGTTGGAAAACTCATGTCTACTTCACAAGCAATGCTGTTTGTAAAGTGAGTGCAGGGTATATAATCTGTAAATTTTTCACATTTTAAATGCATTTCTTTATTCCTTTACTTTTGTGTATTATTTTATACTTCCTAAAAGTATTATAGATAATCAGTGATGCTCCTCTGAGAAGAGTCCAAGCGGAGGGCTGCAGGGACTGCTGTCTGGAAGAGCCCAAGACGTGGAAGAACTGGCTGTGAGTTTGACATTTTGATACTTTCTCATATTTAGTTGAAAATTGTGACCTATTGAATAAAATGTATAGCATAAATCAAGCATCAATATCATTCATCTGAGGAATAAAAAGTTACGAAAATTACGTCGACCGTAATATGGATGTTTGTATGGAAAAATTGAACCACGATTTTTAAAATACATTTTTGCACAATTTGCAAGTGTTGTTCAAAACATACTGACCACAAATTATATACCACCAACTATCAAATAAACTATAGTGTCCGACCGAATGTTCGGTTTCGTTTTCGGTTGAGTTTCGGTAAAAACACGAGTTTCGGTTTAGTTTCGTTTTCGGCGGCAAAGTTGCCGAAACTACGACCGAAACCGAATGTGCATTCGGGAGTTTCCGCGCTGTTATCGGTCATGTTCGGCGCGTTGAATGAGTGAATGAATCCGATCAGAGCCAATGTCGTGATTCTCTCGCTTGTTTGTTTGCTGTTAGTTTTGTAGTGGTGGCGAGTTTTCGAGTGATTTATTTTGAGTTTGGTAAGTTTTATCTCGTTTTATGTCGTCATAGCATAAAAGCGGATAGTAAACATAAAAAAAAAACAATATGACTGATAAAAGTTTAATTAAGTTTAATCTAACCTATTTTTTTTTTGGTTCGCAAATGCTATACGTAAACGAACATTAGTTAGGTAGTTAGTAATGACTATAGTGCATTTCATGGTGATAATATTATGGATTCAGAGTTTCAAAGTTCATTTTAGTATTTATCACCGAGGTATTCAAGTGCCAAGTACAGTAGATACTAAATTATTAAGGTAATATACCCGACCATGGGACGGTTATGTAGATGTCCTGAATATTGCGGTTAATTAAAAAAAATCTAGACTACAAATCCTTCTTTATCTTTTTTTAAACATAATTTGATACCTTTTAGAGTAAAAAGGCGCTTTATAAGTTCAATTTTAATGCATTTTTAAGAGAAAATAATAAAGACTGTCTGATTATAATAACGTTTTCTTTATTTTTCCCTCAAAATATGAGCCTTGTAAGGAAGTTTCGGTTTCGGCCGAAATAGACACCGTTGCCGAAATTCGGTTTCGGTTTCGGTCGTAAAACTAGTTTCGGTCGGACACTAATAAACTATCACTAGAAACAGTGTAAGCAATTTAAAGTTGTATACCTCAAAAAAAAAAACACCCTCTAAATAATAATAACTCTGAATAAAGATAACAATTTTGTACTCCACCATTAGGTGAGACTGTGTGGTAAAAAAAGAAATTCAATAAAAAAAAAATATGACGGATTGTACAGCGCCCCTATCGCAAACTTTCAAGAACTAATATCTTTTTACCGCGCTCGCTAGTGACAACGTTTATTGTAAACACGTTTTATGATCCTGTTAGAATATTAGGAACTTTGTTTTTGGCTTTGTTTGGTTTGGTTATCTGGGGGCACGGCAGTGCCCCCACCAAGTCGAGCAAAAAAGCGGCACGGCCGTACCATCCTTTTCTCGAAGCAATTCAGGCCATTTTCGACCGCCTGTAACTTCGTTGTGGATAAAACTAGAAGGCTGAATTTTCATTAGCTATGCAGGCATTGTAAAGACACGGTATATTTAAAATTTCATTCAATTTGAACCAGTAGTTTAAGAATTATAACGGGTCAAAGTTACTTAATTTTGTCACTCACTGACTGACTCACCGATCATCAAAACTCTAAGGCACTTCTAGCAGACCTAGAAGCTTCAAATTTGGAATATAAGTAGTGTTTGGTGTATGAATCAAGGAAAAACTTAAATATTTGGGGGCACGGTAGTGCAACCGCCAAGTCGAGTAAAATTTTTCAATTTCGGTCCAGTTTTCTAGATACATAACTGCTGTCTATAAAATACAAAAAGAAATGAGATCCCATCAAAAACAATACTTGTCAAAAAACCAAGTCGCGCAACTCAGTTGTTCTACGGTAAAAAGTTGTGAGATCCATGTAATACCAAGTCCAGGCCAGGAAATCTTTAACGTTTTACATAAATATATTGACTTGGCCATCGCATGAAAACACGTGTAAATTAAATTATTTAGTGCAACATATGCATTAACATTATGCATATAAATGGTATGGTGAAGTCAGAAATTTGATATTCTCATTTTAATTTTTTAAATGTTCATACAAAATAAAATTTATAAAATCAGATTTGTATGAAAATTAAAATAATTAAAATTATGATATCAATTTTCTGACTTCACCATACCATTTATATGCATATGTTAACATGGGCTAGTGTCGGCTCATATACCCATTTACCTAACACCCTGTATAACTGACTGACTTAGTGACATGTCAACGCACAGCCTAAACGGCTAAACGTAGGCACTTGAAATTTGGAAGGGACGTAGCTTAGGTACCGTAGAGGTGCACTAAGAAAGGAATTCCCGAAATTCGCACGGGAACAGGAATTAGCGGGAAAAAATATTTGTATGAAAAAATCTAAACCGCGTAAGATTGATGAAGGGGGTAAAACGGGATCCACGCGTACGAAGTCGCGGGCGGCCGCTAGTCTTAAATAAAACTGTTCCCTGAAGCTCCACATCAAATAAACTGTTTCGTCGTGTGAGTTTACGTCAAACGCATTTGATGTCGATTGCGTAAAAAAGTGTTTAAAAGCTCTCAGAAAGGCTTAGTGTGTGCTTAGTGTGACTTTACATTAAACGTCGTCACTAACTAGCGAGCGCGTTAAAAAGATCTGGGGGCACGGCAGTGCCCCCACCAAGTCGAGCAAAAAAGCGGCACGGCCGTACCATCCTTTTCTCGAAGCAATTCAGGCCATTTTCGACCGCCTGTAACTCGTTGTGGATAAAACTAGAAGGCTGAATTTTCATTAGCTATGCAGGCATTGTAAAGACACGGTATATTTAAAATTTCATTCAATTTGAACCAGTAGTTTAAGAATTATAACGGGTCAAAGTTACTTAATTTTGTCACTCACTGACTGACTCACTGACTCACCGATCATCAAAACTCTAAGGCACTTCTAGCAGACCTAGAAGCTTCAAATTTGGAATATAAGTAGTGTTTGGTGTATGAATCAAGGAAAAACTAAAATATTTGGGGGCACGGTAGTGCAACCGCCAAGTCGAGTAAATTTTTTCAATTTCGGTCCAGTTTTCTAGATACATAACTGCTGTCTACAAAATACAAAAAGAAATGATATTTGGGGGCACGGTAGTGCAACCGCCAAGTCGAGTAAAATTTTTCAATTTCGGTCCAGTTTTCTAGATACATAACTACTGTCTACAAAATACAAAAAGAAATGAGGTCCCATCAAAAACAATACTTGTCAAAAAAACCAAGTCTCGCAACTCAGTTGTTCTACGGTAAAAAGTTGTGAGATCCATGTAATACCAAGTCCAGGCCAGGAAATCTTTAACGTTTTACATAAATATATTGACTTGGCCATCGCATGAAAACACGTGTAAATTAAATTATTTAGTGAAATCAGCCTTATGATTTCATAGTCAAATGTTTATTGCATCATGTTGGTACATTTGAATCATAAATAATAATACAGAAGACAACCTGTCAAATATTATAATATGTATTATGTAGTTAGGTAAATTAGCTCAGTAACACTAGGCGCCGACCATCGATTTTTCATCGGCCGATAGTTTAGTCGGGCAGTTGATCAGTATGGGCATGTAAAGGAAGGATGGAAAGTGCGCACATTACGTCGATTTGATTTCATACAAATTAAAATCGGGCTCAACTATAGGCCAACTAAAAATCGGTGGTCTGCGCCTAGTCTTACTGAGCTAATTGAATTACCTGACTACATAATACATGTAAATCAGCCTTTAGGACCTTTAGGTAAATACTTACGTCAGTTTTGCTTTTCAATTATTTATTTATTATTCATGTTCTTATTTTTAGCTTTCTTTTAGGACTAAAACATGAAATATGTACACAGACAGATTATAAAATAAATACATGCAACTTAATCTTAAAAGCATTTTTTATCACTACACTTTGTGGGGTTAAGCGGAGCTCTCACACCAAAGTCGCAGCTTGATTCGGTATTATAGCGGTCCGCGGCGAAGGCTACATCTTCTCGTAGGTCTCGACGTGGCCGCAGTCGAGGCAGGTGCGCGCGTACTCGTCCGCGGCGGCGTCGTGCCGCTCGGGCCCGAAGCGGTGCGCGTGCGCCGCGTGCGCGCGGTCGAACAGGCTCGAGCGCGTGTCCATGCGCAGCGCGCGCAGCCGCCGCGCCGCCGCCTTCCGGCCCGCGCGCGCCCGCGCCGCCGTGCGCCGCTCCCGCTCCCGCTCCAGCGCCTCCTGCGGACAAGCGCCCCGTGAGCGATGAGCGCCGCGCGGCGAGCGGCGAGCCCGCAGCGCGCGCCGGCCGTACCTCCGAGCCCCACACCTCGCGCGCGCGCGCCTCCACCTGCGCGCGCAGGTACAGGCGCATGTCGCTGCGCGCGCCGCGGTGCGGGTTGCGGCGCCGCACGCAGCGCAGCGGCGGCGGCCGCAGGTCCAGGTCGCAGTCCTTGAGCCGGAACTCGCTCTTGGCCTCCGTGCGCGTCAGCAGCGAGTGCGCGCCGTCCTCGTCCCTGCCGACAACCACACCGTATCAACGATGTCGAACTTGCCGATGTTTCGGGGGACGCCGGAGGTGTCACCTGCACGAGTCGCAGACGCCGTAGCCGAAGGTGTCGAAGAGGTAGGACTGCGGGAAGGTCCGCTCGCAGTCCATGCACGTGGGACGTTCGGAGGGATCGACGACCGGTGCGTCGCGCGCGACTCTCGGCGGCGGCGGCGCCTCGGCGTCCTCCAGCAAGAACCCGCCGCCCGAATCTACCAGGCGCGTGCCTCCCACCGTCAAGGTTTTGACGTTTTCCTCGACTTCGATTCCAGTCCTGAAAGAAATCGAGCAGGATCGAGATAAAGAAAGTGGATCGCTTTGGATACGAAATAACATAGCGTATTATTAGTCACTTGTGATATATTGTTATGGCTTAAGTAGGTATATTTATATTTTTTTCTAATATGCTACTGTTTTACCGCATGGTATATTTTTGTTTTGGATTGTATTAATCTGCTATTTGTAAAAATTGTCTCTAAGGCATATTCGGTCTAAACTGCCTCATGTATTATTTATTATTGATCTCATTTCTTTTTGTATTTTGTAGACAGCAGTTATGTATCTAGAAAACTGGTTCGAAATTGAAAAATTTCACTCGACTTGGCGGTTGCACTACCGTGCCCCCAAATCTCATTTCTTTTTGTATTTTGTAGACAGCAGTTATGTATCTAGAAAACTGGACCGAAATTGAAAAAATTTACTCGACTTGGCGGTTGCACTACCGTGCCCCCAAATATTTTAGTTTTTCCTTGATTCATACACCAAACACTACTTATATTCCAAATTTGAAGCTTCTAGGTCTGCTAGAAGTGCCTTAGAATTTTGATGATCGGTGAGTCAGTGAGTCAGTCAGTGAGTGACAAAATTAAGTAACTTTGACCCGTTATAATTCTTAAACTACTGGTTCAAATTGAATGAAATTTTAAATATACCGTGTCTTTACAATGCCTGCATAGCTAATGAAAATTCAGCCTTCTAGTTTTATCCACAACGAAGTTACAGGCGGTCGAAAATGGCCTGAATTGCTTCGAGAAAAGGATGGTCTGGCCGCTTCCCTTTTTTTGCTCGACTTGGTGGGGGCACTGCCGTGCCCCCAGATTACATTAAAATATGCTGTTTGTTTTAATGTAAAATAAATAAATAAGTGACTTGGGCGGGCGACGCACGAGGCGGGCGTCCTGCAGGGCGCGCGCGCGCAGCCGGTTGCGCTCGATGCGCGCGCGCTGCGCCGCCGACAGCTGCGGGCGCGCCTCGTCCGCGGGCGCCTCTCCGTCGTCACACGCATCGATCCCGTCCGGGGGAGCCTCTCCGTCGTCACACGCATCGATCTCGTCTGTGATTGCTGCATTACTGCTACCGTTTATTTCGGCTGCCATATCTAACGCCAGAGAGATATTTAATGAGTTTTTTTTTTATGAGAGCTCTAATCGTTGACAAGGTACACAAAATAAGCGCGTAGGTTTAGCGCTGACTGAAACCTGCCGAAACGTAGTGGGGATAGTCTCGCGCGTGGGTATTATGTCAAATAGTAAACCTATCGCCGAACGAAATGTGGAGGAGGATAGCTGCTGCTCACGCGCACGTAAAATATAATGAATGATATTAGGTACTGTAATAAATTAAATGGTAAAGTATTAACTTAAGTACTCTGTACAACAAAAAACTATCCTACTAATTCCTACTAATATTATAAATGCGAAAGTTTGGATATCTCGATGTTTGTTACTCTTTTCACGCAAAAACTACTGAACGGATTTGGATGAAACTTTATAGTGTTATTGTTTATAACCCAGAATAACATATAGGCTATAATTTATGACGATCTGTGACAAACGAAATTTAACGCGGGTGAAGCCGCGGGAAAAAGCAAACTCTTGAAACTTGTCAAAGTATTTAATAAACAAACTCAAAAACTTAAATCAACAAAAAAAATGATTAAAAGCAATAACAAAAACGCGACTGGAAGTACGCGGTTATGAAGGACGGGATAAAATAAAAAAAATCATAATGACATAATTAACTTTTAAAAAAAATAAAACCGTCTTCAAATGCGTGAACACAAAAAAAACTAAAAATTAAAAATATTGCGTATAAAAAAGTTCATCCCCAATTTTCCACCCTTGGGGGTGAAATATTTTCTTCAAATTCGCATGAAACCACCCTTTTGATAATACCTATTCAACTAAAAAATAATCGTTCAAATTGATTTATAATCGGCGGAGATATTGCGTATAAAAAAGTTCATCCCCAATTTTTCACCCTTGGGGGTTGTTTTTTCTATTATTAAATTTAAATGGGACCACCCTTGAGGTATTACCTATACGCCGAAAAAAGATTTTTTCAAATCGGTTCATAATTGGCGGAGTTATCGCGTAACAAACATAGAAAAAAAAAAAAAAACATACGGGTCGAATTGAGAACCTCCTCCTTTTTTTTGAAGTCGGTTGAAAATCAAAAATACTGGAGAGAGCGACCAGCGCTACGCACGCCAGAGCCCTTCATTCCTCTAGCCCCCTTAAGATACCTTATTTTTTACTTCTGCGCAATAAAGGGCCATGAAAGTTTAAGACAATACTTTGTTACGGAGTCTGAAAGCTATACTTAATGAAAGTAGTATGTATTAATGTTTATTGCATTCTCATTGAACCTGACTGAAAAGCTGGCATAAAGGACAGTGCCAATCCATGTTTGGAAGTTGGACCAAGTGCTGCCCAGAATGAAACCATAATATTTTGTATGTAAATAATTCAAAACAAAACTCTTAACTCCAGGGATAGATTTCAGTGCGCTTCGGTTTACACATTAGTATAGGCCTGAAGAACAAAATGCACTATGGGTTGATTCTGGGCAACACTTGGTCCAGACCCTGGCACTATCCTTTAAAGCAGTGTTTTTCACCCTGTGGGTTACGACCCGCTGGGGGATCGCGAAGCCTCTTTAAGGGGGTCGCGAGAGGTCGTAAAAACTACCTCAGTAAAAAAACAATTTTACGGAGTTAGGAGAGATTTATTCGAAATCTAAATAAACAAATGTATTAAATGTTGTATGGATTGAATTATTTGGTCCCTACAACATTATATTTGTAATATTATAAAATGCATGAAAAAACATAACCCTCCTTCTGCCGCAGTCGGGTAAAAAACGAACGGTCGGGGGGTCGCAAAACATTTTTTCATACTAGGGGGGTCGTGACATGAAAAAGGTTGAAAAACACTGTTTTAAAGGTATTAATTTGTTTTTGTGGGGTATCTTTAATATTTACCTCTAAGATTTACCTTATACGTGCGATTATCCTGCTGCTGATGTAAATCTATTTATGAAAGAATCAGGAATCGGAAAGAATACAAAAGCATCTTTATTTGTTTTTTCTATTATTATTCTGTCTAATGGCTTCAATGGTGCAGGCAGTACAATAAAATCATTTAATTCTTCTTCTTCTTCTTTTATTTTGGCGACCTTATTAATCATTTAATTTATTGTGTGTGTGTCGTGTGTTGATGTAAAATGTGCGTGACATTGACGTGACTGACAGTTTTTTTTTCCAAAAATAACATTGACGTCCACAGAAGGATTATGGATAGATGCAGCATGTATAAAAAAAATTGTATATATGAACACTTTTTTAACGTCATTAGTGTCATTTTAGCGAAATTTAGTGATTACCGCAACGTAAAAATAATATAGATGACCCACGCTGTGGGTCTAGACTAAGTGAAAATTATAATCGCAAACCAGTCGAAAAGTGGTCGAAAAGTCCCTTTTTTGTATGGAGTTTTGACGGATTCGATTTTCGATTCGATCAAAAAGTGCGTTTTGTTTAGGAGGGCTGAACTGTCCCACCAAACTCAATGACAGGGGGGCGCTACCATCGTTCAACTATATGGTTTCCAACTCTAATCCATATCTGTGGTTTCCAACATGGCAAAAATCTGAACCAGCGATCCGGTATTGACGGTGGCGCCCCACTGTCAATGTCATCGACAGGACAGTCCAGTATTTTGGAACTATAGTATTATCGTGCTGTAATCGCAAAGTCATCGGGAGGTAACGTGCGTCTCGATTCCACTATTAATTAATTCCGATAAAAAATGATATTTTGTAACGTGCTCCCGAGTATGTTATGGTCTATCATTTAGTACCAAATAAATATTTTTTCTTTCTTTCTTTCTAGATTAATTCAAGCTTTTTATTTTTAATACGCATAAAATAAATACCGCATTATTGTTTTGCCAATTTGCTTTGTTTCATAAAGCTGGGTCAGGTGATTTTGAAGATAGATAGGATTATCTAAGCGACCCGTTATCTTTACGATCACAGGTGACAGGTAACGATTGAGCAAATCTAATTTAAATTAACAGCGTCTACATCACTCGACCATGTATGTCCATTTGGACATAATCACAAATTCGTATCGCGATCGCGGCACAGACGCACAGACTATAATCGGTCAAAACTCCATACAAAAAGGGGCTTTTCGACCACTTTTCGACTGGTTTGCGATTAAAATTTGCACTTTGTCTAGACCCACTGAACTGTCCCGCCAAACTCAATGACAGGGGGGTGCTACCATCGTTCAACTATATGGTTTCCAACATGGAAAAAATCGGAACCAGCGATCCGGTATTGACGGTGGCGCCCCACTGTCAATGTCATGGATAGGACAGTTCAGTATTTTGGAACTATATGCATAAATGCAGCGCATAATGTCAAAAAATTGTATGAAGACGAGCGTGCCCTGACTCACCATAATATCTGTGGTGCTGTCGTCCAGAGCAGAGCCCCGATTACGGTAATTTTTAACGTTTCCAATCCAGACGCGTTTCTGATTCTGCGATACGATTGGTCAAAACTAGGCATGGAAATGATTGCTATTTTTCATTCATTTTCATTATATGAAATGATGATTTTTTTTCATATGATTTCACATGCGAAATTTCACAGGCAATGATTTTTATTCGCAGTGTTTTAATGTAGCTCTTTCATATAATGTGCTACTTTTAATGAAGTACGAATTATGATGAACGATTGCTAATTAGCTAAAATATGAAATGTAACAATATCTGTTTCATTTTATGTCACACAACAAAAAACAAACAGTTTCACAGAACAGTATGTATGCAACAATCAATAACCGCGCGACTAGTGAAAAATCATTCATTTCATCTGTCTGCTATCTAATGAAATCATACGAATCATGATAAGGAAATCTAAACCTTACACCTTTGAGTTTAAAGTTCATATTTAAAATGCCCAGTTTCGTCCGTCATCACATCTCTTGTCCTTTTCTAACACGCACATGATCAAATCATTCCTTCTTACTCGCTCGGTCGCTTCGCAGAGCTGCGCTCACGGACTTCGCTCGAATGAATGAATGAAATTCATGTGATTCGTGATTTCGTTGACTGTGAAATTATAGCAGTCTATGTGAAGTAAAATAGTAGGTGTGATTAATGAAATTCATTTCATATGATTTTTCACCTGCTATTCATGAAATGTTCCATGCCTAGTCAAAACAGCTGACGTACGCTGTTGAACGACCAATCGTATCGCAGAATCGAGAAGCGGGTCTGGATTGTAGACGTTAAAAGTTTACCGTAATCGGGGCTCAGGCCTGACCGACTTTGTAGGCAGCGCCGTGGACTTTATTAGGTGGGCTGCTAAGTGTGTTCCCCGATCCAAAAAAAATTCTAATAAGGATTTTCTCAAACGACAACACTTAAGTCATTTGTCATAGGCATGGAACATTTCATGAATAGCAGGTGAAAAATCATATGAAATGAATTTCATTAATCAAAAAACTGTCCTATCGATGACATTGACAGTGGGGCGCCACCGTCAATACCGGATCGCTGGTTCCGATTTTTGCCATGTTGGAAACCATATAGTTGAACGATGGTAGCGCCCCCCTGTCATGGAGTTTGGTGGGACAGTTCAGCGTGGGTCATCTATAAGTAATCTGTCGCTGTCAGTCAAACTGTCAGTGGGTCAGACGGTATTAATTGTTTTATTTATTTACTTCTCAATTTTTATCAGATTATCAGCTTTTATTCATCAGTTTTGCTCACATTACAGATAAGACGTAGGTGTCTTCCACCCATTCTTCGAATTTAAAGTCGTGAATTCGTGATAAAGTGAGCAGATCCTCCCACGAACGACGCTGAAAGATTGCAGTTTTTAAGTTTTGCTGATTCATTTGATTATTTTGTGCTTGTAAGTACGTCACCATCAACATCTTATTAATTTAACTTCAACAACATACTATCCGTTCGCTTTAAGTTTGCCGCTGGCGATATGACGTCACTCGAAAGGAAGCGTATTAGTTAATGATTAAACGCAATTAATGTGTCTTACATTAATTGCGTTTAATCACTAACTAATTGCGTTTAATCGCGGTTGGGGTAGGGGACGTGCATTCTACGGGCCGGCAAACTTAGCGCGAACAGATAGTATTAATCCCATCAAAAACAATACTTGTCAAAAAAACCAAGTCTCGCAACTCAGTTGTTCTACGGTAAAAAGTTGTGAGATCCATTTAATATCAAGTCCAGGCCAGGAAATCTTTAACCGAATCGATTATCTGGGGGCACGGCAGTGCCCCCACCAAGTCGAGCAAAAAAGCGGCACGGCCGTACCATCCTTTTTTCGAAGCAATTCAGGCCAATTTTGACCGCCTGTAACTTCGTTGTGGATAAAACTAGAAGGCTGAATTTTCATTAGCATTGTAAAGACACGGTATATTTAAAATTTCATTCAATTTGAACCAGTAGTTTAAAAATTATAACGGGTCAAAGTTACTTAATTTTGTCACTCACTGACTGACTCACCGATCATCATCATTAGTTGTTTAATCCAAGTCAAAGTGAAAATTAAAATTCCTTTGTTTGCATGGACTATTAATATAGTGCTTCCAATTAAAATAAAACGTAAAATAAAAGACTAATAAAAACTACACGTTTCTGAGCCATAAGTCATCACAGGTAACACACATTGGTTGTAGACTTTCGTCTTCAGGCACTGGGGTATTTTGGACGAAAAGATGTTGCGTAGTTTCCCGAACGCTGCCCGGTTGCCGAAAAGGTTCTGGAATGGAGGCCACGTACCGGAAAACGCAGCGTGGGACGTCCACCCACAAGGTGGACCGATGACCTGATAAAGGTAGCGGGAAGGCGCTGGATGCAGGCCGCTACCAACCGTGCGATGTGGAAGTCATTGGGGGAGGCCTATGTTCAGCAGTGGACGTCCTGTGGCTGAAATGATGATGATGATGATGAAAAACTACACTTTGGAACAGCTACAGTGTGGAATTTTGTGATGCCTCCTGAAGGGAAAATACTAGAAAATTCTAATATTTGAAGAAGCATATTTTTGGAAATCTTTTTGAATGCACCTTTATTTCTTTTCAAAAATAAAGGAATATTTTCCTTGTGTAAAATTTTCTAAATACAGTATTAAGAGCTCTTTCCCTTCAGGGAAAGAGCTACTACTGTATGTAAATTCAGGGCATTACAAAATTCAAACCTGTATTTTTTTAGTAGGTTAATTTTGTTAAATAGCTGCCATCATTTTCTGCATTTTTTTGAATCAGGTGTGGACAAAATAGATGAGGGTAGGTTGATAGATACTAGTCAAAATTTAAAAAAAATAAGTATATATCAGTAAAAAAAACAACCATCCAATACTGGATTGGAACTTAAAATAGTTTAACACAACTGTTTCAATACCTGCTGATAACAATTATTAATGTACTGGTGTTATCAGAAAGATGTAATTAAATCTCTAATCTAATCTAAGAAGAAATTTCTATCAGTTAAACAGGGTATAATATCAATGAACCTTATCTGAATCATTTATTAGGGTTCCGTAGCCAAAATGGCAAAAACGGAACCCTTATAGTTTCGTCATGTCCGTCTGTCCGTCTGTCCGTCTGTCCGTCTGTCCGTCTGTCCGTCTGTCACAGCCGATTTACTCGGAAACTATAAGTACTACAGTGATGAAATTTGATGGGAATATGTGTTGTATGAACCGCTACAAAATTATGACACTAAATAGTAAAAAAAAGAATTGGGGGTGGGGCCCCCCATACATGTAACTGAGGGATGAAAATTTTTTTTCGATGTACATACCCGTGTGGGGTATCAATGGAAAGGTCTTTTAAAATGATATAAAGTTTTCTAAAAAACATTTTTCTTAAAGTGAACGGTTTTTGAGATATCAGCTCTCAAAGTCGTAAAAAGTATGTCCCCCCCCCTCTATTTTTATAACTACGGGGTATAAAATTCTAAAAAAAATAGAGGTGATGCATGCTAATTAACTCTTTCAACGATTTTTGGTTTGATCAAAGTATCTCTTATAGTTTTTGAGATAGGTTGATTAAATTGACATAATAAGTTTATTATATTTGCTGCTACGGAACCCTTTGTGCGCGAGCCCGACTCGCACTTGGCCGGTTTTTTAATAACAAAAAAATTTAACATCCTTTTAAATGCTCCATAGTGACTAAAAATTCATGAAATTATGCAGTTTCCCATCACTCACACATTCCTACAATGGCTACAACAACCTGATTACAAAGGAACTTCTACCAATCACCACCACTACTTATCTATTTTATCATTAATGTGTGGAGGTATCAAGTTGCAATTAACATCAAGTAGGTATGTAACTTGTGAATCGTCTTTGTCCAGCATTAAATATAAATATCATTGGACATTTAGACAAGGGATATAAATACTCGTAAACATACCTAAATACTTTTTTTTTTGTAAATACATTATGCATAGAAAACACCCAGACCCATCACAGAAATTAAAATTCATCATTTCAATTTCTGCCCGACCGGGAATAGAACCCGGGACCTCTCGGCATAGTAGTCCGTTCTGTCTGAACCACTACACCAGACGGCCGACATTGGACGTCTTTTGGCTGAAACAAACGACGTAACTTACATCCGTGGTTCCTAGAAGCTGTGAAATCAAGTTCAATCAAGTCGGTGAAAAAACTTTGGCAACGGCTGACCACTGTGCTTCTTCAATTCCTTACCAACCTTCAACCGTATTCAACTAACACCTCGGCTACATGACTCGCGAAGTTGGCCTACGTCAGTCGACGATGTCTGCGCACAGGCTCCCGCTGAGCAGGCGCGATGGGCGAGCCCGCTGGGGAGACGACACAGGCGGCGGAGGTGGTGCACGGCGTGCGCGTGGCGGGCGTGCGCGACGTGCGCTGCGCCGAGCACGACGCGCTCGTGGTGCTGCTGGCGCCGGGCGCGCCGCTGCCGCAGGCGCTCGAGGACTTCATCCGCGCCGCGCAGGACCTCGACGCCGCGCTCGAGAAGGTGCCGTTCGAACTGTTTATAGGAGTAGGCGCACACCGTTGATTTTTAGCTGGCCGATAGTTGTGCCCGATTTTAATTTGTATGAAGAATCGGCCGAATCGAATCGGCGTAGTGTGCAGTGTGTGTGTAGTGTGCGCACTCCCATACATGCCCATACTGATCGACTGCCCGACTGACCTATCGGCCGACGAAAAATCAACGGTGTGCGCCTACTCTTAGTGTCCGACCGAGTCTGACCGACACAAAATTACTGGGATTTAAGTTTTTAATTTTTAGTATTCACCTCTTCCTTCAAAAACAAGTGATAGCGTGGCCAACTTAAAAAATTTTTAAAGCATTTTGAAATGCAATTGCATTTCAAAATGATCTGAACATTTTTTTTGCTTGCCCCATCAACTCAACTTCAGAGCTGTGAACGGGTGCGTTGGCCACAGAAAACAAGGTATTTCCGACTGGTCGCGGTCAGATGAATGTAATTCTTAAACGCAATGGTGAACTTAAATGATTCTTTTACCAGTTTCTAGAGAAAAATTAAGCGACCTGACCCCATTCTCATTATTTTTTTAATACCCCTCATACCTAACCGATTCTAAGATTGAAAGACCCCTCCCCCCGTATCATGACATAAACCGCAGACTTGCCATGCAGATGTGCGTCAGTGAGTACTAATCTGCGCGACTTGTGTCACCCCCTGATGGTTGGCACCCGGGGCGGACCGCCCCCACCGCCGTTCGTCGGATAGATCGAAGCGTCTGAGATAGCCAAAATGATCTGATATTCAATAGTTCATCATATAAATGTAACCTTAAGAGCATTTGACGATTTGCAAGAACTAATTTAATTAGTCTAAACAAATAAAAGAAAATTTTGATTTTGAACCAGTCAAAGTAAGCATATAGTTTGAGGCACCCAAAGTAGGTAATCAATATTTTTGTTAGTAACACTGTTCTCAATTTTATATGAGCTGTTAGGAAGTTCAAATCAAAAATATGTATGTATTCTCTAGTAATTTCTTTGTTAATTATACTCATCCGCACCAAAGCACAGGCTAGGTAAAAATATTCTCGGTAAGATCGTAAGTTTGTTTCAGAACAGCGCCGTTCTAAGCTGCCCTCGCGTGTCGGGAGGCCGCCTCGTACTGTCTCCCACGGGGCCACTCACAGAATATGACGACGTGAGGTAATTCTATACTTTACCAGCTTTTGCCCATGGCTTCGTGAAATTAAGTTAGTCACAGAAAATTATAAATTATGGCCTGTACAATAATACTGTAGTTTCATCAAAATCATATATAAAAACTTTCACATTTACGAGGGTAGGTCAAAAAGTTCGCGGAATGGAGGGTAATGAGTAAGAAATTTCACTCAAAATTATTTTTGCTTCTTAGTTTATTCTTTGTTTAGCATAATAATTTTTTTTTTTTTATTTAATTAATTGATACCTTCGAAAAAAATGTGTCGTAAAAATCGTCAAAATAGACCGAAATTGCGCACTTCACTTCATTGTCACTGGAAAATGTCATCGTTCTAAGCTTTTTCTTCATTTAAAAAAAAAATAGCTGAGGTTTTAATGTGGGCTATAGAGAAGATTTTCTAGGATTCCGAAACCCACCTTTTAAACAACAGCCACTACAACTTGCACCTTGCGCACGGGTGCAACGTCGTGTAAAAACAGCACACCTTTGATTTGTTTTCCCCACTTTTTTACCCTCACAGCATCTCAAAACCTTTCTAAAAGTAAAGCGTAGTTATCCCCTGTTGTAATGATTTTTTTTTATTTGTAGTCAATCAGCAGGATTTCTTCAGTAGATAATTATCCCTGAAGACAGCGGTTATGAATTTTTCAGCCGACGAGGACATCTCGAACTTCTTGATGGTGGTGTGCCATTTTGTGCTACTGTATGGAATCTTTTTTACCCGACTACGGCAAAGAAAAAGGAGGGTTATGATTTTGACATGCTATGTATGTATGTATGCTATATATCATTAGAAGCGTCTTTATTGTCCGCTGGTTATAGGCTATATGGGGTTTCACAAAATCTAATGTGGCGCCCTCTAGCGTAAAAAACATACAGAGTAAAAAAATAAAGATAAGATTAGATAAAGATAAGGTATCATTTGAAAGCGCTTTACTTGGAAATTTTGAATATTGTATATTACTAGCATTTGCTTATGACTTTACCTGTATTAATGGGCTGATTGCATATAATTCACATCTTTTCGTTCATAGCTTCTTTACTACTTATTAGTTCATCAATTTAACTTTTGTTAATATTATGCGCCACAAATACACTTTAACACCAAAATAGTACAAATACTAAAAAGAAAAAAACTAAAACCCAACTACGACAAAAAACGATGTTTGGAATGGCGTAGTCATACGTTACATATACCTACCTACCGTAGCACTTTGACAACGTGTGACTGCGGTTTTCCAAACATGAAAATTACTATGCAACTACATTAGCAACTTTGTTCAGTTCAGTATTCTGAAAATCTCGTTTTATACTTTTTCAGCGTCATTTTTTGTCGTAGTTGGGTTTTAGTTTTTTTTATGAAATATTTTTATTGCCATACAATAAACATTTCTTCAGTAGAGGGTCAATCTTTGCGGGGGAATTCTGCAATTTTTCATCGTTTGTGTTGTCAAAACAAAAAATAATGAAGAAACCCAAAAAGAGCGTAAGCCGGGCATCGAAAGTTTCCTCTCCGTTGGCTCAGGAGCATGTACGAGGCGGCGCGCGACGGCGTGAGGCGCGCGGCGGCGGCGGGCGCGCGGCGGCCGGCGCTGGCGCTGCTGCCGCACCCGCGCTGGCCGCGCGCGCAGCTCGTGGCGCTGCTGGGCGCGCTCGAGGCGCTGTACGTGGTGAGTGAGCGCCGCGGCCGGGGGCGGGGCGGGGCGGGCGGGGCGGGCCCAGCTAACGGCGCCGTGTGTTGCAGCCGCTGCAGATCCGCGAGTCGTTCCCGGAGCAGGCGCACGCGCTGGCGGCGCTGGGCGTGTACGCGGAGGGCGGCGCGGCGCCGCTGGCCGCGCTGCTGCGCGAGGCCGCCGCGCTCGAGGTCGCCAGGTGCGAGGATCATTTTTGTATTCCTATCCCATTGTCTTCCATTAACTTTGAATTTTTGACGGATGTCAATATCTAACTACTACGTGTGATATATCATTGGAAAGAAGAAAGCTAGAGATGTTTTTAAGGTCATTGGCGATCCATTATCTTATCACCTTTTTTATTGAATTCTAAGTTGAATTTTTTATCGTGGTTTGTACTTTTGTTAAACTTTGGCGGCTCGTAACGTAACTAGCTATCCAATCATTATCTGGATCTGAAATTTATTTTATTTGACTAAAGACATATTCGATATTATTATCAAATAAAAAAAATGTTGAAAACACATGAGAAAAAAATTTGAAGCCAAAGAACAATAGGATATTTTGTATGAACCCCGTCCCCAGATCTGTAGCACTTAAATACCTATCTTATATGATAGTACATTCTAATACTATAATTTTATTATATGACAGCTCAAGTCAAATATGTATCAGAAAAAAGTTATATCAAAAATAAAAATTCACAATCAACCCTGAAAAAATACATACTAAATCACTGACCAACTTCAAAGGGTATCACGACAGCTTGACCCCGGGACAATTCGATCCCTGTGACAATCTTCTGCGACAACTTGACTTTTGACTTACTTCAAATAGTTTCACTACTGCTGGACCCTACGACAGTTCGACCCGGATGACAACTGAACCCCTGTGATAACTATATACGTGTGCGATAGGACCCTTTAATATTGTTTAAAACAACGTGAAAATGTGAAAACATCGGGAACTGTCTGGATCGAGACGTTAACGCCGGCGTGTGTTGTGTGTCGTGTGGCAGGGGGCTGGCGCGGGACATGGGCGGCGCGGACCCGGAGCGCATGTCGCCGCGCGCGTGTGCGTCGCTGCTGCGCGGCGCGTTCGCGGGCGGGCCGGTGCGCGTGCGCGTGCTGGACGACCCGCGCGCGCTCGCGGCGCAATACCCGCTGCTGGCCGCCGTGAGCCGCGCCGCCGACTCCGTCGACCGGCACAAGGGTCGCTGTCGTCCGCTGGTTTTGTTTTGCTTTTTACCCGACTACGGCAAAGCCAAAGGAGGGTTATGATTTTAACAGGCTATGTATGTATGTATGTATGTATGTATGTTCATGTGTTCCCTCGTAACTTCTAAACTACTTATCAGAATTCGACAAATGACATATCATTAGAAGCGTCTTAATTGTCCGCTGGTTATAGGCTATATGGGGTTTCACAAAATCTAATGTGGCGCCCTCTAGTGGACAAAACATACAGAGTTAAAAAATAAAGTTAAGATAAATATGCCGTGTTTGGTATCATTTGAAAGCGCTTTACTTGTACATTTTGAATATATATATATTACTAGCATTTGCTTGTGACTTTACCTGTATTCAAGGTCTGATTGCATATAATTCACATCTTTTCGTTCATAGCTTCTTTACTACTTATTAGTTCATCAATTTAATTTTTGTTAATATTATGCGCCACAAATACACTTTAACACCAAAATAGTACAAATAATAAATAAAAAGTAAAAAAACTAAAACCCAACTACGACAAAAAACGACGCTGAAAAAGTATAAAACAAGATTTTCAGAATACTGAACTGAACAAATTTCCTAATGTAGTTGCATAGTAATTTTCATGTTTGGAAAGGCGTAGTCACACGTTNTGAAAAAGTATAAAAAAAGATTTTCAGAATACTGAACTGAACAAATTTCCTAATGTAGTTGCATAGTAATTTTCATGTTTGGAAAGGCGTAGTCACACGTTACATATACCTGCCTACCGTAGCACTTTGACAACGTGTGACTACGCCTTTCCAAACATGAAAATTACTATGCAACTACATTAGGAAATTTGTTCAGTTCAGTATTCTGAAAATCTTGTTTTATACTTTTTCAGCGTCGTTTTTTGTCGTAGTTGGGTTTTAGTTTTTTTACTTTTTTTAGCTTTGTTCGATCGTTAACTTTTCGACTCGGTTGTCGATTTCGAATAGATTTCGATCGGTGTTTTGTAAACGACCGATGAACGACGACGCCGTAAAACTTTTGAATCGAATCGAAGATTCTGTCTGACGCTATCGTCTCAGAACAGAGGTGCGATTGTGTAAAGCGATCGTATTCATTCGACAGTTCAAAACGTACGCTATATTCTGTCAAACGCTTTGCTTAATAGATTTTATCGTACGTTTCGAACTGTCAAATGAATACGATCGCTTTACACAATATTGCGCCAGAGGTACGATTCGAATTCAAATCGAACCCGGGACCTCTGCGTCTAAAGCAGGTGGTCTCACCACTAGACCACAGAGGCGGTTAAAACGATAGTTTATTGAGATAGATAGGATTGCTGTCACGATACTTATTTTTATTAATTTGCGTACTTAAAATATGAAAAGAACCAGTCACTAGCTTTATTTGTGGAAAGATAACAAAATTATTATTTACTAGTGGCCGCCCGCGACTTCGTACGCGTGGATCCCGTTTTACCCCCTTCATCTATCTTACGCGGTTTAGATTTTTTCATACAATTTTTTTTCCCGCTAACTCCCGTTCCCGTGGGAATTTTGCAATATCCTGTTGTAACTAAGCTTTAAGTTTACTATGGTACCTGCATGCCAAAAGACATCATCCATTTTGGTCCAAAATCAAAAGTGCCGGCCAAAAAATAAAAGTGCTGTATTCTGATAGAACACGTCTGCCTTAGCATTTGTTACTATGGCACCAAAGCTGTAGCACCACTGTGCGTCGAGTATTTGAGATCTAAAAGTCATCGACCATTCATAAATTTTTTGTTCAAAATCAAAAGTGTCGGCCAATAAAAAAAAGTGCTGTATCTTGACAGAATACGTCCGCCTTAGCATTTGTTACTATGGCACCACTGTGCGTCGAGTATTTGAGTTCTAAAAGTATGTCTTTTTAACATTTACGATTAAACTATTTACTAAAACAAATGAAGTATCTTGCCAAAACATGGCGTTTTTAATATGTTTTGGTTAACACGATGTACTTATTGTCGTTCACATACACTGCATGCCCAAAAAAATGCACCATGAGTACCTACAAACAATAAAAAGGAATGTTAAAACTAGACGCGGCTTATCACTTTTAGGAATTAAACCAATAGCCTTACCCTACCGCCATACAATGGGCACACCGCCGCACCGCACCACAACACCCCTTTTTTACGGATAAAAATGCGTTGAATCGCATACCTACACTGCGAGGACAGGGTCAGAAGGACGAGGCATACCCACTAAAAAGACCCCGGTACTCCGTCGCTCGCCTTAAGTGGCAGGAAACTGTGGGGTTCCGGACAAAGCCTTCTCTACCACAGCCCCTCCCGGCCCTACAAGCCCCCAGGATGGGGGGCGACAGGAGCAGCTGGGAGCACACAGCAGCACACTTCGACCTTATGGCCCTTTTCACCGCAGCGGAAACAGAGTCCACTGCTGTTATTGCCAGCGGTGCACTTGAAGGCCGTGTGGCCAGTGCCCTAACAGGCGACACACCTTAATGGTCTCGGCTTCAACAGTGTTACATGTCAGGACGAGGAGTTTAGTGGCCGACTGACTTGGCTTGAACCGGAGACCGACCACACACCCGTCCCTCAACCCTTCACCGCTGATTATGCACCAAAAATATATGAAACGTGGATTACTTTGATCTCAAATACTACGACGCACAGTGGTGCTACAGCTTTGGTGTCATAGTAACAAATGCTAAGGCGGACGTATTCTATCAGAATACAGCACTTTTTTTTTATTGGCCGACACTTGATTTTTGACAAAAAATGTATGAATCGTCGATGACTTTTAGATCTCAAATACTCGACGCACAGTGGTGCTACAGCTTTGGTGCCATAGTAACAAATGCTAAGGCGGACGTATTCTGTCAAGATACAGCACTTTTTTTTATTGGCCGACAATTTTGATTTTGAACAAAAAATGTATGAATAGTCGATGACTTTTAGATCTCAAATACTCGACGCACAGTGGTGCTACAGCTTTGGTGCCATAGTAACAAATGCTAAGGCGGACGTGTTCTATCAGAATACAGCACTTTTATTTTTTGGCCGGCACTTTTGATTTTGGACCAAAAATATATGAAACGTGGATGATGTCCTTTCAAGCGTCTAACTTAAGCGGTTTAGATTTTTCATACAATAGGATTTTCCCGCTAATTCCCGTTCCCGTGGGAATTTCGGGAATTCCTTGTTGTAACTAAGAAGCTTTAAGTTTATTAAGGTACCTACATGCCAAATTTCAAGCGTCTTAGATTTTTCATACAAAAGGATTTTCCCGCGAATTCCCGTTCCCGTGGGAATTTAGGGAATTCCTTGTTGTAACTAAGCTTTAAGTTTACTAAGGTACCTTCATACCAAATTTCAAGCGTCTAACTTAAGCGGTTTTCGATTTGGCATTCAGGTACCTTAGCTTAGTTACTACAGGATATTGCAAAATTCCTACGGGAACGGGAGTTAGCGGGAAAAACATTTGTATGAAAAAATTTAAACCGCGTAAGATAGATGAAGGGGGTAAAAACCGGTCAAGTACGTGTCGGACTCACGCACAAAGGGTTCCGTACCATTGATTTATGAAATTAATTTTTTTTTATTTTATTTATTTGTATGAAAGATTACGCGGTAATAAGCGGTTTACGATTTACGAGGTATTAAAAAAAAAAACAACTTACTAGATCTCGTTCAAAACAATTTTCGTTGGTAGTTTTTAATTTTTTATAGTAATGTACATCATATTATGTTTTTTTTTAGATTTTTCATTTTCTTATTTTAGAAGTTAGAGGGGGTTTCCACTTTGGAAGCGTCTGTCACGCAAACTATTCGGTTTAGAAAAAATGTATTTTAGAAACCTCGATATCATTTTTGAAGACCTATCCATAGATTCCACAACATTCTTGGGAATCACTTTAGACTCTAAACTTCAGTGGGGTCCTCATATTGAAACCTTGTCAGCAAGGCTCAGTTCAGCTGCTTTTGCAGTGAGAAAGATAAGGCAATTAACTGACATTGAAACGGCAAGGCTAGTTTATTTTAGCTATTTTCATAGTATAATGTCATACGGCATATTGTTGTGGGGCTCAGCTGCGGACATTGAAACTGTGTTCGTTCTGCAGAAGAGAGCAGTGCGGGCCATTTATAACCTTGGACCCCGATTTTCCTTGAGAGAATTCTTTAAGGAGATTAATATACTGACAGTAGCTTCACAGTTCATTTATGAAAACCTTTTATATGTTCGCAAAAATATAGAGCAATTTACTAGAAAGAGTGATTTACACAAGTTCAATACAAGAAACAAAAATAAACTTGCCGTTCCAAATTTCAGACTGCACAAGATTGGTAATTCATTTATGGGGAAATGTATTAAACTTTTCAATAAATTACCACAAACTGTTGTAGAATTGCCCATTCATAAATTTAAAGCACATATCAAAAGCACCTTAATGAAAAAGGGCTACTATAAAGTTGATGATTATATAAAGGATAAAAATGTTTGGAATGTTTAACTACCTAGCTCGCATTAATACTTATGACTATAATTTGTATATTTTAAAGACTGTAAAACCTTGAAAAGGAGGCTGACAATAGTGACTGAGTTTCTTGCGCTGCTTCTTCTCAGCACTGGCCCATTTATTGTCCCGAAGCAGTGGTAGGGTTAATATTGGGACGTGTAAAAGCGCTTTTTTAAAGTGACCAGACACACTGTACAATTATTATAATTTTAGCCTATCTCGTGAGCTAGGTGTCTATAATTAGGGTGATTTACTAACTAACCAGTCGCATACGAACAACAGCAGTGAGATTCAAACAAGTTTGATCCATGATGCCGCACGACTATTGTGTGAGCCCACCCGTAACCCAAGCTTATTTAGCTTAACACAAGGGGCTGGACGGGACTATTAGTAATTTGTGCAATACAAAGTGCTTATAATCTTTAAAAAAATCTTTTTATTGCTGTATTTAACCTTCCTTTCGTATACTAATTTATGCGTCAGTGTCAAGTCTGCGATTTTTATTCTTTGAAATTTTCGTAAAATGGCTGCCGCCGCGGTGACGCCTTGTAATTAACAAATTAAAATTAAATTAGTGTTTTAAAGTGCTTAAATGTACAACTTAATGGTAAAAAGTCATTCCTTGATTTTTACTTAATATGTATCTGGAGTTATTTGAACAGTATTTTCACGGTAATATTATCATACAGTATTGTAACTTCATATAAACGGACAAAATGCGAGCTTTCCTTCGAAATTCAAATCTCGGTATGCGCTCGACATGCAAAAGTCGGGGGTGTCGCGAATGTGCCACAGTAATAAACGGACGATGTATTGTTTTTTAAACAGTAAGCGCTCTTTTTTTATAAAAATAATTACAATTACCTATTTATACAGGGTGTTAGGTAAATGGGTTTATAAACCGACACTAGCCCATGTTAACATAATAATATGCATAATTATAAATGGTATGGTGAAGTCAATGATATCATCATTTAACTTTTTTAAATTTTCATACATAAATAAAATTTATAAAATCAGATTTGTATGAAAATTAAAATGATTAAAATGATGATAAAATATCAATTTTCTGACTTCACCATACCATTTGTATGCACATGTTAACATGGGCTAGTGTCGACTTATAAACCCATTTACCTAACACACTGTATAAATAGGTAGGTACTTGTAATTATTTTTATAAAAAAAAGAGCGCTTACTGTTTAAAAAAAAAGCATTTTGTACGCCTCAGTCGAGGCGCATACATTTTACGGTCGCAAATTATAAGATTTACTACTAAATCTTAACACAAATATATTTTTTTAATTAAATCTACTAATCACAAAACAACATGCATTTTTATCCTATTTTATTCACGAAGTATTTTGTTTGTCAAAATAAAATTAAAAATTACAATCACAAAATTGATTCACAAAACTAGATAAAAATTCTAAGTAGGCAGATGTAATGAAAATAGGGTCTGCAGGTGGGCAGCCCTATCGCATGTTGTCATACAGTGACGTACCGCGCGGCTGTTGACATTTATTTCAAAAATATGGCCGAGTTGGAATACTGTATAGATAGTATTACCGTGGTATTTTCGTCTATAGGATGGCATATTTCAAAAAACAAAACTGCACTCAAGCGTGTTGTCACAGCAACCGCTGAGCACATACTAATTGAATTTCGGTCCGTGGACCTATTTACGTGCCAGAAACAGTCTAGTTGACATGTCTTCTCTAGTACGTAGTACATTATAACTCAATGATACAGAAAAAAAATCATCGCTCTAGTTACATTTCTCCCATCGATTCTCAGCTCCGCCGCGTAAAAAACGTGTTTGGGATATTCACCCACAACCGTGATTTTTTTTGAAAATTATTATTTAATTAAAATGAATTGGAAATGTGCTACTTACGGATAAAACATGATCCCATGCACTTTCTTCGTAATTCCAGTAGCATTCTTACATGTTGGAACGGCACAAGACGGCATAATTTAATTATAAAGTGTCAATCTGACGGATATGTAAACAATGCGCGCGCCGGCCATTGACTAATTGCTCTAAAGTCAAATTAGTGCGTTTTGGAGTAATTTATATGAATACACATTTACGCCCGTTGACGGTTTCTGGTTTGTTCCGTATTCTGAGGTTCACACGAACATATCGTTTGCAATATCCTTCAAGGAACCGATCCGTACGAATTTGTATTACGGATTTCAAATTAATGTGACAGTCCACTTTTGGATTGCCGTGGGAACAAGCCCTTTAATCAATAATTGATTAATTACTAATCGAGATACGACAAATGGAAATAGCATAGTTTTAACTTCTTCTATAATTTGGCTTCCTTACATCTCCGGTGATTAATAATGATACTCATTGAAAACGATCCACCAGAATACCAAGCGATGTGAATTGCAAAACAATTCGTTTATATGACGGTTTGCCTTACCGACGAATAAAATCCAACATTCTGTCGAAAATAACTACAAAAGGATCATGAGTGCTCCGCGATTCTTTTCAGAGTCTTTTAAGAAAAAACTTTTCTTTTGAAACCGATTAGTTTCGTTATTCGCGGGTCTTTGAAGCTTTAACGAAAGTTTTCACTTTCTATGTGAAATCGTTTCGTACGAACAAAGTTATTATGCTTAGATAAAAAGATGCCAAACTCTTTAGATACAGTCAGAAGTACCTAAATACCTGTTAAAACTTACTGACCTACACCTTTTTCTTATTTGTATCAATATCATACATTGTTGTAGGTATATCATGAAAAAAAATAGTTGAATAGCAACTATTAGTGGTACTTAATATTAGGTACGACTGATTCCAAAAAATACTTCACGACTATTACTTAACGATGCACTCACTATTCGGCCAATGGACGTGATTCCAGGCTCTGGCCTGGAATCTCCATTAAAAAAAAGATGATGATGTAAAATAGGCGGAGTAGGGAGGGGGCTAGTGAATATAAATCATATTCGGATTGCTGACTCTGACATAGTAAATCCAGCATGGTGAGTTACCATACTGCTTGTTATTTATGACGGAGTGACGACAGTGACGAAGTAGTCCGTAATACCATTCCAGAAGAGGTTGTTTGAATTTTGATATTTAGATATAAGTATTACAAAGTCTAGTTTATATCGTCTTTTCGAAGTACCTAGATTGCAATCCTGTATCTGTACCCTTCATCATTACATTGATAGTGGAGGGTTAGGTACTAAAGTTTTTGATTGACATTGAAATAAGTAAAACCTAATTTTAGCGAATTAGGTAACTGACATGGAAACCTAATTTAACGTGAAAGCGCTAAATTAATTCTGAAGAAAACTTCGTTACCTCGTAATTTGAATAGGGTTCCTGGAATGAATGATTACCTATTAGCAGGAACGAATGAGACGAAATTCAACGTGATCTTATCAAGTTCAAATTAATCCATTTAAAGTAGTTTATTAGTTTACGAATTCATCTTAGGTACATTACCAATTTAATGCAGCCAGCATCCTCGCCTCTTTGCCTCACGGACACATTTTTGAGTAAAATAATTTTATATTTTTATTTTGTTTAGAGTTGTTTGCCTTAGTTTTAAAAAAATCTGTTTATGTCAAGACCTTCAATAAGTTATTTGTTTTGTAAATAAATACATACATTTTGGGTTGAATGTAGATCTGTCACACTAGTAACTGGGATAGTCCCTGGAATCGATCTTGACTCGAATCACGATACTTTGGTTTCAATAAAGTAAAGTAAAGATAGTTTAAGTTGGTGAAAATAAATAAAATATTTTAAAGATAAGTAATAGGGACGAGTATATTGAGTACTTACTTGTACAGAAGACACGTTGGTTAGTTTTGCAGGGCAATCTAATACCGCACTTAGCCTCATGACTGGGTCATTGTGCGCGATTTGTAGTTTATCTTCCCACTACTCTAACCACCCCAGATCCCCCCAGAAAGCAAGCAGTCTGTCTAGGCCGCTACAGGCGTCCTGCAGCGACGATGGTGATCGGACAATTTGAGCCCGTTGTTCTGCTACGCTTCTGCACTCCATGAGCACATGCTGCGGTGTTTCTTCCGCCTCCATGCATCCCCTGCACAGTGGGCTGACTGTAACACCTATGTTGTGTAGACACGTATCAAGATACACGCTGTAGTCTGTAGTAATCTTATGTAATCTTAATAAGTGCAATTTTGCAATTTAAATGTGTAGTACTACTGTCGTCTGTAATACTTCATTTTCAGAATACATTATTCAGAAATAAAAGCTCTTAACCACTTCAGAGTTCAGTTAAGGTAAACGCAAATAACAGACGAGACCACTCTAATATAATTTGTATAAAGTATGCAGACCGGTCAAACTCAGTGTACTTAATACGTAAGTAAGTGGTCGGTGGAGTCTATCTGGGAAAGTAAATTAAAGGTTACTTGATTTAAAATACATTTCAAAATGACTCTACATAACTTGGAAGAACTATAACAAGAAGATTTATAATATTTTAAATGAATTAAGTCATAAAAAATAAATTAAGGCTGTGTTTCTTTAATTTGAAAGTGTGTTGAGATTGCGGCTGTTTTTATTCGATCTCAGCGTGGGACATACCGTCGGCAAATGAAGTTTTTTACGAGCTCTCTACCCGACACCCGGCCATATTGTTTTACACGGCGCTGCCTAAACGCGGCCAAGTCGTAACAAAGCCACTAGTGATGGACATTTTTTGTATCGCCTCTGTAAAATGCCGAAATAGTCCATGAATGCTAAAGGTATTTTTTCTAGCATCGTGGACGGCATCAATTCTTCTTCATCAATCATAGTGGCTGACTTTATATGGCTCTAACCCTGAAGTTAAGTGCTATAGAGCAAATTCTCATAAAATAGTAACACAACGCAAAGTGATTCACACAATTTAGATTTTCTTATAACATAACTAGTAGATACCTACTTACAATTGACTTTCTTATTTAGCAGAAAAAGTATAGGTACTTACCTAAACTAATTTCATCACTATTTTTTGTAAACGCTCCTTTACGGCAATCGGTTCCTATATTGTTATCATATCATAGATTGATTCAATTCTATTCAATTTTATTATTGATCCAGTTCTGGTGATCCTATAACTGTCTATAAACTACTTAATCGATATCGACACTATTCAATCCTCACACTGCCATCTCTCAGGGAGCGCCTTCTCTGAGACGACCGCAGTAGTTCTTGTAGACAATAAGATGATTGTAGCAATCTCAGGAGAGCGGCCAACTCTGTCTTTTGTTAGAACCAGGCCCCTATACCACGGAAGATGCGAATTTTTGATTTATTGCCGAACTTTCCACTGAATGCGTCGGTGAAATGCATCCAATATTGCCGTGAAAGGCTTAAACTGTATGCTTTAAGCATTAGGAACAAATATTTCAACGTTTCGCTCGGCCAAGCAAAATTATATGCATCATTTCATTTTGTATTTTATTGCTTCGCAAGCAGATTTGTTTCGTATCAGTGCGGGTGAATATTTTCAGTTTCAGGTACGGTTGAATAGTACTTAAGTAAAAAAAACACAATAGTAAAAATAAATAAATATGTAAATCGTTCACAAAAGTAAAAATAAATAAATCGTTCGTGCAATACTAAGCACACTTTAGCTAGCTTTTCTATGTTAAATGAAATTAATGTAAGCATGGAATCTATGTAACTATTATATTGCTTTCTTTTTGTTTGAATAAAATTTTACTACTCGTAAATTGTGTAAAGTGGATAAGAAAATAAAATTGAGAAGTTTGAAATTAAATTATTTTTATTGAAGGTATCATTGGTATCATAATATATCACAACAGCTGAGAAAAACAAATATGATCATAAATAGAAACTTAAATAGGTAATAAATAATATAATTAGGTGTCTTCGTCCATTTCAGCCTCGGTTCTTGATGTGGTTGTAGACCTCGCGGGCAGTTCCCACAGCGCTGACCACTCCAAGACCGGTTTTCTAAAGGAAAATAAAAATTAGTACCTATGTTCATTCTTATATTTATATGTCATGATGACCTAATACTATGGAAGATATTATGTTATTCGAGAGAGAAAAACCCGCCCCATACAGAGACTTAGAAATAACAGGAAGGTGGTAGAAGAAATATGTTTAATTCTTTAGAAGGTTTAGAGGCATTATTTGCCAAGGAACAGAGAAAGCACATCAAGCTAACAATGTGGTTACAAAAGGTACTATTTTGACAGTAAAAAATGTAATGACATTGTACAAAGTTGGAAGTTTTTGGGAATATTACTTACAATGGCTTTGCCTATTTGCTTGACAGGGACTTTAGGCGCAGGGTCGGCGTGGCCAGCTCCGAAGAACATGGCGAGCACCGCCATCACCACCGTGAACAGAGCCGTGAACTTCATGATTGATTGATGTTAAGACTTGACTTGACCGCTTAAGAAGCTGAAGGCTGAATGTATTCGGAAACTGAAAACAATGTATTTAAAGGACAAGATTTCCTCGATTTAACTTACTCACTGGGATAATAGACTTGGGATAATCCATTACTTACCTACGCGTAAGTAGTTATTAAGATGATTAATTAGGTTTTATTACATTTATTGACCACATTATCCGCATTCCGTTATCAGTGAAATTTTCATTATTGTATTTCAATTTACCTTCTTAGTTTGTTCAGTGATCTGAGATAACTGAGCCTATTGACTTTGAAGCAAGTGAAAAACGCCGAAATTAACTTAGCGCCTATTCTACATTGGCTTTACAAATTGAGACTGAATATGTTATTGGGGGTAACACTGACTGAATAAAGTTAGGCTGAATTAACAGTTTTAAATCTATACTAATATTATAAAGCTGAAGAGTTTGTTTGTTTGTTTGTTTGTTTGTTTGTTTGTTTGTTTGTTTGTTTGGTTGAACGCGCTAATCTCAGGAACTACTGGACCGATTTGAAAAATTCTTTTTGTGTTGGATAGCCCGTTAGTTCCTGAAGGCTTTAGGCTATATATCATCACGCTAAGACCAATAGGAGCGGAGCACCAATGAAGAATGTTTCAAATCAGTGATTTTTTTCCTTTTGAGAGCTGACGCTGCGTAAACGGTTAAAGTTTCGCAAAAATCATGTATGACAGGATTGTTCCCCTTTAAAAGTTCTAAAAAAAAGTCCGCGATAGTATATGTCTATCTTTTAAGGTTGGCTCATAGTAACCCTTTTTATGCAAAAAGAAATCTGTTTTATATTAATGCATTATTTGCGGAGGTTTTTTCATAAACATGATATTAATCCTTATCCAAATAAATAAGTTATTCATCACAAGTATTTAATTTTAAACATACTTGGCCTTTACACCATTCGATTTCAATAAATATCTTAGGAGATATCGCAGTTTTAAAATATCATCGCAGCAAAATAATGATCAAGTACTGCGCGCGCCACTGATGGATCAATGCACAGCCTAAATCGCTGATCGTAGAGACCTGAAACTTGGACGGTGTGTTCTTTGTAAGACGTAAGTCTGTTAAGAAGTGTATGTCTGATAAGAAAGGATTTTCCAAAATTCTACCCCTAAGGAGGTAAAAAGGGGTGGCAAAGTTTGTATGGGATAACGAGATTCCTTCGTTCAATCTACTTCAAATTTCGCATAAGCATTCTATATCAGAATTAATGGAAGATGTGTTTCGTATTTTAGTGAAATGCACCCCCTAACTATGTTAAAAAGGGGTAGAAAGTTATTTTAGTGGCCTCCACTTAACCTCGGAGTGGGTGCCCGCTGCGTGCGCTCGCCTAACAATGCATAGTAATGCATGACGGTCAATTCATGCCGCGGGCACCTGCTTGCGCTGTATATACAAAAACTCATTTTCGCGCGAGAGTTTTGGCGGAGGCCCTTGAGTTCGTGGGAGTAGTCTTGAGGAAAAGCTCCTTCTCCCACGGCCAGTGGCATGCTAGAAGCTTGGTGATGCTAGCACCCGTAGGAAAAAAAAAAGTTATTTAAACATTTAGATAATAACGTTAAAAACATTTAAAAATCGTGTGAGAACGTTTTCGACTTCTCCACGGACGAAGTCGCGGGAAAAAGCTATTTGTAAAATAATTAGACTAAATTATTAAAAGTGCCTACCCAAAGTCATTATTCCACGCGGACGAAGTCGCGGGCATTTACAATATAAGTAGGTATTCGTTGATGGAAAACATACCTTAATAATATAACAAAATAACGATATTATTACTACGTCCTACCTATAACAAAGACTTCAGTATAGTAAATGAAGTTACCAAGAGTGATTTAGGTGTAAGTCTAGCGTCTAAACGTCCGTTTTCACCTTATTCTTAATTAGTTTGAAAACAATTTTATTTCTTTTATTGAGTAATATGAGTTTAAAAGTATTTTCCAATAATCTTGGCTTAGCTAAGTACTTATTCGATTTCCCAACTTTGTTATTGGAATGAAAAAACTGTTAAACAGATACATAGGATTATACGAGTATATACTCGAAATCCTTCTCTAAACATTATAGAAAATAATGTGGTTTCTATAATATTTGTAAAATAAATATTTGTGATTTATATTTATTTATTTTATTGGGCTATCAACATGAGATACAGTATTAAACACAAAAAAAAACAACAATTAAGCCAAAGGTCTCTAGCTAACTGCTCCTACACAAACGATAACCACAGCATGCATAATAAATATTATAACATGTTTACTATCATTCTTCTATCAAACACATTACATAAGTACCTACTACGTATGACGTATACCTACTATGGAATTAGTTAAATGCTGAAATGGGATCAGAATTTATTCATTTACAGTCAGCGTCAAATAGTTCGTGACACCTAAAGTAGCCAATTATACGTCTTTGTCACAATTGGAATAAGGTTGTGTTGGCAACTTTTTGGTCACTTTGTGTGTCACGAACTATTTGACTGACTGTACAGCGAAATCTTTGATCAGTTTTCAAGATAGATAGGCCTATAATGCCCTTCTTTTGGGCATTTGTTCGATGACGTTGCCATACCCACTATACGTAGCTCTGACGTCACATTTTCTTGAACGGGAAAAATAACTTCGTAATGCCGGAATATCCCAAACTCATGAGGAATTTAACAAGGATATTGTATGCTTAAACATTAAGTACACATTTGCAAAACATGTAAACAGTATGATAATACAGGCTTGAGTAGGCTCCTCATTTCTCTCAAGTCATTCAACAATATTTATAATATTAATAAATACGTAACTGTTTTGAAGTTTCCAAGCACGACTTCTTAATTTCTCACTCCTGTTAAAATGTACTTACTAAATCGCCGACTCATAAATTAAAAGTAATAGCTGACTCTAAATTATAATCTAATTTAGTATCTAATCCTTCTTTTATTTCCCTTCACCTACTCTATTTTATTGTTTTCATCGTTATAAAAATGTAAATGACAGTTGCGACTTTAATAAAAAGTCGATTAGACAAAAATATTCATAGCAAATCATTGAAAAGCCTAATATTCAGTCAGCGGGCGATTCGGTCTAGTGGCGCAGAATCACCGGATCCGGGATCAGTTCCCAGCCGGATCAACTCGGACGAATTCAGTTTTATTGTGGTCTCGTTTCACAAGTCCTTGACTATTGGTGTGCTTTCTCGCGTACATTTGTTTCTACTAGGGTTGTTCAAAAATTAATGACAATGGGATATTTCTAGCCATCACAAAAATCGGAAAAAATGGTAATGGTAGTAATGAGAATGGGATATTTCTAGCCATCATAAAAATATAAAAAAAGAGGTATTTAATGGTATAACTGGTAAAAAAAAAGTTTAAGTTCACCAATGCGTTTAAAAATTACATTCACCTGAACACGGCCAGCCTTTTGTTTACCAGTTTCTAGTGAAGAATCAAGCTACCTACCCAATTATTTTCAGATTTTTGTGATGGCTAGAAATACCATTCTTATTACTTTTTGAACACCCCTCGTATTAAGTAATTACGTAATCTTATTCATACCTCGATTATAGACTGAAGGCTAGATTATACATTATAATAGATTTCTAGAACAATAGTTTCAGCATGAGACGGTCACTTTTGGAAGGTTGGTACTTAAAGATCCCTGTTCAACGCCGGGCTATTGTGAACACAAGCATGTAGAAGAGGCACTTAGCACTGGTAAGGTTATCGGAAAGACTAGACTAGGTAGACTATATAGTCCTACTAATCCTACTAATATTATAAATGAGAAAGTTTGGATGTCTGGATGGATGTTTGCTACTCTTGCACGCAAAAACTACTGAATGGATTTTGATGAAAATTTACAGTGTTATACCATATAGGCTATAATTTATGACAATCTGTGACAAACTAAATTTTTACGCGGGTGAAGCCGCGGGCAAAAGCTAGTTAGAAATGGTTAATGGTTATGGTTACCATTTTTCTATTTTCTTTCAGCATGGAAGCTCCTAGCAACAAAGTACAGTAAAGTAGCGTCGAACCTATCCGAAAAGCCGAAACTGAAAGTATCCGGCTCACTCAATTCAAAAGTTATGGTAGGTAATCGAAGTCACCCGCATTGTGTTTGGGAAACGCGACAGGGAAATTTTCCCTTACCTTCATTCCCCTTTCTGTTTGAAACAACTAGTACGACGATCCTATGTAAATTACGTTGTCTTCGTAAACTCGTATGATTCCTAAAATACTTGCAAACAAAGATAATAATAATAAAACCCCGGTTCTACCCGTAGAGGTATTTTTTTACTTTTTTATGTAAGGACAAATGTCATTTTATACCATTAAACTGAAAACTGTAGCATTTTCATGTAGTAATACGACAATACGACTATCTACCTAATATGGTTGCAACTATTTGATGATTCAGTGTTTAGGTTAATGTGCCTTCATCTCAATCTATTTAAAATTGGAAAAGCGAAAATTAGGACCGTATAAAGTAAGGGACAAAGCATAAATTAAATCGTCTGTAAGAGATATGAGACACTATGAGAAGACTTACACAGCTACTTAGGTTGGATTGCACCATCTTACTTTGACTTTGACTAACGTCAAAAATCTGTCAAAATCCATACAAAAAGCAACGGTATTCGTCAAAGTTACAGTCAAAGTTAGGTGGTGCAACTCAGTCTTAGAAAAGTCAGTCGTGGTTAAACTTTTGACTAACTGCTGTCTTAACAGCTAAGACGTGTATCTACAAAGCTTATAAAACAAACTAAGAGAGCAGTTTTAAAGTGAACCTTAGTAAGAATGTTTTTCAACTAAGTAAAACTTTCTGTTGTTGTTGGATGAAAGCATGTTAGGTCGTTTGTTTTTAGATTGAGAAATGTAGCGCTGTAAGAAATTCGTATTAACTGTAATATTATATTATCTTCGCCGCTTTAAAATTTGCTTCTAATAATACTGAAACAAGTAAGCGGATAAAGTTATCATGTAAAAATACT